AAGCCGAGTCTGGGCTAGCATATAAGTCTGCAAAAACTTTTTACAAACGTGTTACAAACATTTTTTTCTTAAAGCTTCCAAAAACACAGTCAAACATCTTATTGTGTATGATTAATTTCTCGAAAATAGTGGTTCAAAATAAAAAAAATTACCCAAAATAAAATAAGTATTTTACAATAGCCTGATTGCGTAGAAAATGGTTTATAGAACACATACATCAAAAACTAAACGACATATTGTAGCCTGAAGAAGATACAATTAAAGCATCGAAACGTCGCGACGAATTTAATGTTTTACTTCCCTGTGTCTTATAAACCATTTTCTACGCAATCAGGCTATTATAAATATTTTTCAAGGACAATAAACACAAAATGGAGTAAGTATTTTACGTAAATAGTATTTTATTGGGTCCGAAAAATAGTAAGTATATTAAAAAAAAAAACAAGTTTCATAAGACCATTCTTGAAGCACGAATTCAAGTTTAAAAAAACGAGTGGCGTAGTCACGAGTGTTTCACGGTTTTACAAACCAGTTTTTTATGCTATTTTTTGTGATTTGGTCTTTTTATGCCATTTCTAAACAAAAAGTTTTACTTTACTCGATTTATTAGAGATTGTTGTTCAATTTTAAAAGTCAAAATTTGATCTAGTCGCCTTTTGACTATTAAAACATTTTGATATATCTAAATATTAGAGAATCAAAATGGAGGAACTTAAATGAGTCTGTAAAATACGAGTATCTATTTTTGGGAGCGTATACAAAAAAGGTTTGAATGAAAAACGACATTTTTCTATTTGAATTTATTTCCGAAATAAAGTAAATAGTAAATATTGTTGAAAAAGGCACTTTTACATTTTTTATTGTTTATTTAACCAAAATTGTCTCAATTCGAGCCTGACCATTTAGAAAGTCCGCCCCTGTGTCCAACTTTCGCACATCTCCACTTCGCTTTCTGTTTGTCTTTCATCCCACAATTTCCTTTTGCAGTACACACCAGAACACGGTTACGACATGCGACGTAACATGACCGTCGACTGGAGCGCCAAAGGCAAATACTCCACGACTCTCTTCACCGAAGAAGCCGTCCGTCTAATCCGCGAACACGACACCGAAACCCCCATGTTCATGTACCTCGCCCACTTAGCCCCCCATTCCGGCAACGACGACGACCCTCTGCAAGCCCCCGACGAAGAAATCGCAAAATTCGGACACATCGCCGACCCCGAACGCCGAATCTACGCCGCTATGGTCTCCATGTTGGACAAAAGTGTGGGCAGTGTGGTGGCCGCCTTGAGGGATAGACACATGTTGGAAAACTCGATTATTGTGTTCATGTCGGATAATGGGGCGAAGCCCGACGGAATCCACGCCAATCATGGCTCGAATTACCCGTTGAGAGGCAACAAGAATTCGGCTTGGGAGGGGGCCATGAGGTGCGTAGCGGCGATTTGGAGCCCCCTTATCAAAAAACCTCAACGTGTCTCGAATAATCTCATGCATATATCGGATTGGTTGCCGACTTTTTACTCAGCTGCGGGGCTTAATAAGACTGAATTGCCGAAAATGGACGGGGTTGACATGTGGGCCGCGATTTCTGAAGGGAAAGACAGCCTCCGGACTGAACTTTTACACAACATTGACGAAATTTACAATTATGGGGCTCTCAGAGTCGGCAATTGGAAATATCTCTACGGGTCCACGACCAATGGTAAAAGTGATGGGTGGTATGGCTCCCCAGGTCGTGACCCCCTTTACACGTACGATGACAACGCCGTTTTGGCGTCACAAACCGGTTCAACCCTCGCAGGTCTCACAACATACCAACAAATCAAGGAAAAACACCAAAGAGAGACCACGAATTTCACCCATAAACTCCTCGACGGTGACACAATCAAAACCCTTCGAAACTCAGCCGAAGTCAAGTGTCCTCGTGTCAATTTCGAGGAAATCCCCGAAAGTAAGAAATGTAACCCAGTCGAGTCCCCTTGTCTCTTTAATATCAAGGACGATCCTTGCGAACAAATAAATTTAGCCTCGGAACGTCCCATGATTGTCTTAAACATGGAAATGGCATTAGCCCGATTCAAACAAACGGCTTTACCCATCAGAAACGTCCCGAGGGACCCCAATGCCGATCCTGCCAAATGGAACAACACTTGGGTCAATTGGCAAGACTACGAAGATGTGAAAAAACAGAAAATTTACTTCAATACTTTGTCACCACTCGCAATTGGCTTAATTTCAGCAGCAGTTGTCGCCTTTGTTGTCGTTATAATCATTTTGGTAACAATCACAGTGAAGGCGTCTCGGGATAAGAAAAAGGCCGGAAAAGCGTTTTTTGACGACCCCATGGAGCAAATGGTGACGATGGCACCCAAACCACAAATTTTCGAAGACAGAGAATTGCAAAATAGGGAGAGTCTCAGGAACGAGTTCAGGACGGTGGAATAGGAAACAGGCGGCTTTTCGAGAGAAAAGCTCGATCTTGTTTCGATTGTGATTTAAACAGCTTTGGGTGTTTCTTATAGAAATGTCTACAAGCAAACTGGCTTTAAGTTATTGTAAATATTTATTTTAATGTAGAGTAAAAATAAATTTATTGAATAAAAACCTCCTTTTGAATATTTCACTCAAGTTGTCACCACGTTAACTGTCCTAAAATACCGTGCGATCAAATAAAAAATAAATTAGAGTAGGCGTCGATTAAATTCTACAGTTGGCAACACATTGGCTGGGAATCTGGGCTGGAAATTTTCAACACAAATTGAAAAATTTATTATTTCATTCAGAATGAATAAAACGCAAACTTGTCAAAGTTTCCGCTGACATTTGATGTCAAAAATCAGGATTGCCATCTGAAGGACTTTAATCACCGACTACTCTAATTTATTTATTTTTTTTTTGATCGCACGGTCCAATAAACACAATTTATCTAAATTGAGCCAAAACATTACCTGCTGTTTTCGGGTCCTCTTCAAATGACTAAAAAATTTATAAACACAAAAACGCACTAAATTTTATTATTTCTAAATTACTCAAAGTATTAATTAAACACTTTAAACAGTGTTTCATCATTTTTTTATGTTTTTTCACTATTTTTAGTCGCAAACGCAACAAATAACTATTTTTTAATAATAACAGTGAGTCGGGTAGGCTTTGTATCAGAGCAAAATTTACATTTTTGCTTTTTTTGCAAAACGCGCACTAAATTTCAGTGAAGTACAATTTCTCAATTACTCACAATATTGATTAAACACTTTAAACACGCTTTTTTCCGGTTTTTCACAGTTTTTCACAAACAAACGCAAATGAGAAATGAAACACGACGTGAAAAACTACTAGGTACCAACCCCTTAAACTGATTTTTTTTTATGATTATTATAGTGAGTCGAGTAGGCTTTGTCCCAGTGAAAAAAAATCCTTTTTTTCGCAAAATTCGCACTAAATTTCCGTGGAGTATAATTTCTCTTAATTAAACACTTTAAACAGATTTTTGTCACTTTTTTCCGGGTTTTTTCACAATTTTTAATCACAAATATACACAAAATGAAAAACTTGACGCGACGTGAGGTACTACCAACCCTTAAATTGAAATCTTTTTTAATAATAATAGTTATTCCAGTAGGCTTTGCCCCAAAGCAAAAACCCACATTTTTGCTTTTTTTACAAAACGCGCATTAAATTTCAGTGAAGTACAATTTCTCAATTACTCACAATATTAATTAAACACTTTAAACACGCTTTTTTCCGGTTTTTCACAGTTTTTAGTCACAAACGCAAATGAAAAACTTGACGCGACGTGAAAAACTATTAGGTACCAACCCCTTAAACTGAATTTTTTTTGATTATTATAGTGAGTCGAGTAGGCTTTGTCTCAGAGAAAAAAAATACTTTTTTTCGCAAAATTCACACTAAATTTCCGTGGAGTATAATTTCTCTTACTCACAGTATTAATTAAACACTTTAAACAGATTTTTGTCACTTTTTTCGGGTTTTTTCACAATTTTTAGTCACAAATATAAAACTTGACGCGACGTGAGATACTACTACCAACCCTTAAACTGAAATCTTTTTTAATAATAATAGTTAGTCGAGTAGGCATTGCCTCAGAGTAAAATTTACTTTTTGCTTTTTTTTCTCAAAATACGCACTAAATTTCCGTGGAATACAATTAGTCAATTACTCACAATATTAATAAAACAGTTGTTTATCGGTCTTTTTTACTTTTTGAGGTAATTAACAAACGCACTACTGCCAACCCTAAAAAACTTCAGTCTTTTATTAGCCCTAATTTAATAATATATTTTTATAGTGATGAATAGTATTATTATTCTAGACGAGTACCCCGTAATTGAGGATTTTTCGTAGCCAATACAATTTTTGAAACAGAAACAATTTCTGTTGTCTTATGCAACCAACAAAACACGTGACAGTTAAGTGACAGCGGTGACCCACCTTTGTTTATGTGTCTTAAATGGGGGCTTATTCCGGCCAAAATCGAGCGCTTTGAATGAAATCATGTCAGATTCGGATCCCATTAAGTTTATAACTGATTTTAATAAAATTTGCCGAACGTGTCTTTCAGAAAAAAGTAAAGAAGATTTGTGTTCTGTCTTTGACAATTCTCTTGATGTTATTCTTACAAATTTAGCGGAAATAAACGTAAATAGCCGTTTAGAAATGATCAGACGAGTGAAACAATCAATTTTAGGTTAGAAGAGACGACGGTTTGCCCGGTTTTATTTGCAACGACTGTATTTTCACTTTAAATTTATTTATCAGTTTTAAAGAGCAATGTCAGAAAGCGGAGTCTCAATTGAAGAAGGTTTTATACACGGAGATTTACGGCGAGTACAAGACTGTAACAGTATTAGGCGAAAACATTTCCACTATCATAGAATTTAAGAATGAATCAGTGTTAGAAAATCGTGATAAAATCATAGCAGTGAGCATAAATGAGCCCCAAATTCTGCAAATCGATAATCAAGCCAAAGCAGACCCCAGCCCCCTGAAATGCCCCAAATGCGAGCGCACTTTCAAACTCGAAACGACTCTAAAAACCCATTTATTAAAACACGAAAAAAACGCCAAACTAAAATGTGAAGTCTGCAATAAAGAGTTTAACTGTAAGTGACTCAGGTTTTACAAAAAACTCATTTTTTTTCTAGTGATTACTCAATTCAAACATCACGTGCGCACCCACACCAATTACAAGCCCTTTTCTTGCTCAAAATGCCCCAAATCGTTTTCGTTATCGTCAAGCTTGACGAAACACATGCGAACACATGGGGGCGAACGCAAACACTTGTGTATCACCTGCGGGAAGCGCTTTTTCGAGCCGGGCCACCTTACCGTAAGTAGCACTTTCGGTGCTTCCCCTATAACGCCATGTTTAAGATTCATATGAGAATTCACACCGGGGAAAAACCGGTGATTTGCAACAAGTGCGGGAAGAGGTTTACTGACCCACATGGACTCATAGCCCACAATAAAATCCACACCGGCGAGCGGAAATACGAGTGTAACACTTGTGGGAAAAAATTCGCACATTCTTTTGTGCTTAAGGCGCATAAAAGGGTCCACACCGGGGAAAAACCCTACGCGTGCACTATGTGCAAAGCCGCCTTTGCCACGTCTTCGTATCTGACTATACATAAAAGGACCCACACGCAAGAAAGGCCCTACAAGTGCGAGTGTTGCACTAAGGCTTTCATCAGTCGGTGTGCCCTAGTGGCCCACATGAGGACCCACACAGGAGAGAAAAAATTCCAGTGTTCGGTTTGTGGTAAACGCACAGGGCGAGCCGCTGACTTGCAGATACATATGAGGTCACACACGGGTAAATCCCCGACTGTGCTCTATTAAATAACGAGTCGGGCTTTTTTAGGGGAAAAACCCTACAGTTGTGACTTGTGTCCGAAAAAATACCACACTTCGAGTAACTTAGCGGCGCATAAAAGGACACATTTGGGGGTCAAAGACCACTTTTGTGTCGTTTGTAGCAAGGCTTTTGGCGACTTGAGGACTCTGAAGTGCCACATGAGGATTCACACGGGGGAAAGACCGTACATTTGCGGGATTTGCGGCAATAGCTACACTCAGTCGGGGCAATTGGCCGCACACAGGCGCACCCATGATGTCTTTATCGATGTTAATACTGCTACATAAAATAAATGACGAAAAACGACTCGAATTTTTTATTTCAATTGCAGGAAACCCTCTGGTGTCGATTTTGATAATTAACAAATCACAACCACGGCTAACCACATTTAATTCAGTTGGCCGTGTTATATTAACAGTTTTTTAACCGTAATCACATTTAGCTAAATTTTGAATAACAAAAGTGAAAATTAACCGTGATTTCACGCAAAATAGTGAAAAAATGTAAGGTGTCTTGCGATACCTGTCAAGCCACTCTAGAGATGGGAACATCGAAAAATATATATCGATGTTCTGTGACATCGATGATCGAATAAGAAATCATCGATGTAATATATATCGCCCCAAAACATCGATAATCGTGACATCGATACTTAAAAAATCGATGTTTTTTATTGAAAAAAAAAATCATTTGCCAATTTTTTTAATAATAAATTTTTGGGACATAAAAAAATACAAAAACAAACATATTTCTTACAACTCTTGTATAAACCATAAACAAATACAAGCTACAAACACAGAACTTAACTACCTACATCACTCCATCATCGTTAAATTTGTTAAAAAACATCGAATTCTCCTACATCGAATTTAAATTTTATGAATGAAATTTTAAAATTAAAAAAAGTTAAAGATAATTAAAAATAATTAGCTGAACCAATTTCGATGTATCGATGTAAAAACATCGATTTTTAAAAAAATACATTTTTAAATCGATGTATTCGATGTTCCTAAGCCAAACCTCACTTTTTTGACATATGGTGCTAACCTAAAAACCCAAAATTTCGGAAATAAAAATGTCAATTAAACGCAAAGACGATATTATTCAAGCCGTAGTCGTGGCTGACACTTTCGGTGATGAATTTTTACCACTTTCCTGTGACATTCCTCTGGTACGCTATAAAAAAGGTGATGCAATCAATAATTTTTTTTACAGGCACTTTTTCCCCTAATTAACAAGCCTTTGATCGATTACACGTTGGAATTTTTGTCTCTTGGAGGCATAGAAGAGACTTTTTTATTCTGTTGTTCACACACGGACGCCATAAAAGCCCATATAAAGTAGGCAAACGCCCCGTTGTGTGCCCCCTTAACTCCTCTAATTCTAGTCAAAGTATCAAAGACAAGGCAGGATGGAGTCTCACGATGAAAGTCAATGTTATTGTATCGGAAAGTTGCCACTCGTTTGGGGATTGTTTGAGGGATTTGGACAGGAAGGGGATTTTGCGAGGCAATTTCGTGCTTTTGGAACCTGGGACTTTATCCAACATTAAATTGCTACCAATTGTGAAGAAACACAAGTAAAGAACCACAATCGTGGTGCTTCGCCCCTAATGTGTGCTTGTAGTGAGACTTCTAACAAGGATAAGGGGGCTGCCATGACTCTCATCTACCAGGAAGCGGGGCGCGACGAAGAAATCGTCACTGCTGTCAATAGTAACGGTCGGGTTTTATTCCACAGAAAATTGGGGCAAAACAAGGAGAGAAAAGTCGAATTTCCTCTAGTACGTTTCATTATTTTGATTTTTTTTTTTGTAAAAATTTTTCCAGGAAATTTTCTTGGAAAACTCAAGTGTGTCACTACACCACAATCTCAAAGACACACACATTGCGATTTGTTCACCGTCTGTTTTGCCTCTCTTTTCCGACAATTTCGATTTTCAAACTAAAGACGATTTCGTGAGGGGTTTACTAATGAATGAGGAGATTCTCGGAAGTACGGTGTATTGTCACGTGACTAGAGGGAGCAACTTCGGGGGGGCTATCACCAACTGGCGCATGTATCAATCAATTAGGTAACTTTCCTGCTAATTGGGCCAAAAATGACGATTTTGTTGTAGTCACGAATTGGAAAATAATTGGTTCTACCCGTTACAGGCCCCAATTTTGGGCAAAAACGGTGTCGTAACAGGGGAAAAAGTCACACTAAATGACAACAAAAAAATTTCGAATAGTATTATAGGAGATAACGTAACAATAGGCCAAAACGTACAAATCGAAAACAGTTTTATTTTCTCTAACACGAAAATCGCAAACGACGTTATAATCACTCGTAGTATAATAGGCCCCCATTGTCACATCAAGTCAAAAAGTCGGATCACCACTAGTGTTATCGGCCAAGACGTGGTGACCGAAAACGAACAATTTATCGAAAACAGTTTGGTCCAATCAACGCAACCGGAAAATTGTATGTTTTCCCGTTAATTTCCTCGAGTGAGTTGTTCATTTCCAGGCGAGGAGACGGACAAATTGGGGAAAAAAGCCTTTAAGTTGAGACTCGAGTCCTCTGCTGAAATCGGGGACCCCCCTGTGGAGGAATCCGACGATGAAGCTTTCACCGACAGCGACGATGAAGAATTGAGTTACACGCAATCCCCCGTCCCGGATGACACGAAATGTAAGCCCCCCAGCCCCCCTAACTGTCTTTCTATCTCACTCACCCTCTTCCAGTGTTCTTTACTGAAGTGATAGACAGCTTAACACGAGGTTTTGAAGATGAATTACGTTGCGAGAATTTAATTCTTGAGATAAATTCCTCACGTTATGCTTATAACGTCACAGTTAAGGAGGTAATTGATTTTCAAAAGCTCCCTAAAGTCGATTTTTTTAAACAATTCTCAACGTCAAAATTCCCTAAAAAACAGATTGTACTGCCCTAAAACCTTTTTTTTTTTGGAACAGTAGTATATTAAAATTTGAGGTTATGTTAGTAATTTTCTGTCAGAAAAGTTTCAAATGGAATTTTTTACCAAAAGACAAGAAATAAAAACGGAAAAATGCAACTCCTAACCGGGAAAAATTTATTTAGTGGGTAATTTAATTTTCAGAATGTGACTCAAAATTTTCAAATCGTTGCCAACGTAATAACATCAAATAACTAGTGGCGGATACCAACATGACAAACTTTGACAATTGTTTAAAAAAATGGACTTTAGATGATTATTTTTTTTTATGGAGAATTTTTTAGGTCAATTTCAACGTTATCAAAGCTATTTTAATAATGTCGTTGCGGTTTCCTATTGGGCCTCAGTATTTCTCTCAATTTGTTCGTTTGTTGTCATTCTTTGCTCCGATCCTGAAGAATTACATACGCAATGAGGGGGCTATGTTAGACAGTTTGCAAGCGATTGAGGTGATGATTTTCAAGTGATTGAGTGTTGTCTCATTGGGGGTTTCAGGATGTCGCCATTTCGAACGAAAATGTTAACGAAAAATGGGTCATGTTCACCATGAAATGGTTCTATGATAAGGATTTTGTCACCGAAGATGTGATAATGGAGTGGTCGAAGAGTTTAGATGCGAAAAGTCGGTTCTATGGACAAGTTAAGCCGTTTATTGAGTGGTTGGAGGAGGCTGAAGAGGCCTCCTCATCCGATGATGAATGAATATAAAAAAATAAAAGTTTAATCACAAAACTGATTAAAATCGAGTTCAATCCTCCGCTTTTTGGTGCTAAATTGCCTGAAAATCCCAAATTTGTATGAGAAATGCGACATTGTTTTAATATCTCACCGATATTTAATTCCACACTTATCAAAAACTTCCTTAGCTCTGTTATCATCAATTTTCTTATGATAAAAAACAACTTCTGTAATACCAGCCTGTGCTACAGCTTCAGCACATTTGTCACACGGAAATGTGGTTGTGTACATAACACTTCCTTGTTGAATTTTTTCCAAGGCCTTGTATTCAGCATGACTGGCTAAAATTCATCAATTAAATTTTTTTTAATGAATTAATGAAAAAAAAAACATACTATGCAACTCGTGTGATGTAGTGTCAGCTTTTAAAACACAACTATTTGCCATACTGATTATTATTTTACGCTGATTTAGAATAATAGCAGCATTTTTGATATGACCTGGGGTCCCCCTTCGAAGCTCCAAGAATGTCATGGCCATAAAATACTCATCCCATTCCAGGTAATCACGTCGTTTCTCATTTTTTACACTAAAAAATCACGGTTTAGTCGTTTTTTATAAATTATCGCTTACCTGAAACAAAGACCGTTCTTTCCAACTTGTGAATTTTTGCTATCATTTGAAGTCATTTTAAAGGTCATAAAACACAACTAATTAAATAATTTATTAAGGACAAAACTACAGACATCATAAATACACAAAAAAACTATTTTCAAACAAAAAAAACCATTATTACAAACATTACACAACCTCAAATCAAACTAACGGGTTTTTTATCTATTATGTTGGCGCGACTGTTTTGATTTAATTTGAAATGAATCGTCAAATTTCGAATAATGGCCAGTTTTGGGTCTTAGAATGTTGCTGTTCCTGTTTTATTTTAATTCAAATGTCGCCCAAGTGAGTTGAAAAGTTATTTTTTCGTAATATTCAACCTCAAACTGACAACAAACGGGTTTTTTGCGTGTTATGTTGGCACGATTGTTATGGTTTAAATTTGAATGAAACGTCAAATTCGAATAACGGTCCGTTTCGCAATCAGGTTTTAAAACACTGTTATTTCCTTTAATAATAAGAAATGCCGCCAAGTGAGTTATTAAAATCGGCCCGCGGTGACCGCCCAACAGGTTACACGTGTCGGCGCCGCTTGCAAAGCAACTTCGAAGAGTGTGACAAAAACGAGACCAAACCAGTCGATAGGAGCGTTTTATCGGTTTTATCATTTAACGAAAACACGCGAAAAATTTTCCGAAACAGTGCGGAGAGATTCAGTAAGACTTTGAACACAGTTAGGACCACTTTTGGGTCCATTACACAGGTAATTTTCTTGGGTAATAATAAATTTTTGCTAATTTTTCTCTCTTAGAAATTTAGAGTTTCAACGAGGAGACGGCAGATTTTGGAAGAGGGGCCCATGACCCCCAATTGCGACACTCCGTACACGTTTTCCAAGCAGGTGTTGGGGCGCACACCGACGAAACTGTACAGCCCCTTCGGCATTGAGACGCCCAGTGCTGCGGCCGATAAGGAGAACAGGGGGGCGTAAATTTATTCACATTATTGATTAATGTATTTATTTATTTGTATTAGGCTAAATTAATAAAACTAAGAAAGGTAAAATGCGTGATTTATTTTAGGACATACATAAATCCTATGACAACAAGACAACACTAATAAATATTATATAAATAATCTTAACTAAAATCGGGATAACAATAATTTATTTACACAAGTTTTGATTCAGTTTGAAGTTGTTTTGCGTTTTTCGGGTCTTGATCCTGTTTTGGAGCGTATTTAACAGCCCTGCGAGGACATCATGGTTTGGTAGTTTCTTCGCGAAGAGGAGTCTCTTGACTGAGTCATCGTACGTGAGCAAAGCCACCATATTTTGCAACAAGAACCCTTGACAATACTCCAGGAGTTGAACAGCGTTGTAAACTTTAGCATGAATGTACATTGAAACAACATTATCTAGCGCCAACATGGAGGCACAGCGACTCTCGCAATACCTCAATAAACCGTCCAATTGGAAGAAATTCGCCGCTGCCATGAGTTCCAGAATATCGTCTTGGGCCGGCTCTAGTGTCTGGCAGCCCCCTTGGTACAAAAACTGCATCACAATCTGCAAAAACCGTGAAAAAAATCCCCCAAAAACACGTTTTTTTTTACCTGAAAAATGTCGTATCTAATATCGTTGATTTGCACGGTGGGTAGCCCCCCTTCGCACAACTTGGAACTCAGCATGGACCTCAGTCTTGAACTTGCAGTCACTAGGACTATTTTATGGGCGTAGAAGAGGCGCCCCTCGACTCTGAACGTGACATCGCTCAATTCGGGGTTATTCACATATTTGGGGTCAATCCTGGAGCCCGAGGTGGCCGAAGACACGCAGTTTTTGATCGGTTTGATGGGCTCCCAGCCGAAGCAAGTCGAGAAAATGTCAGCTAGCAACAAAGTGGTCCCTTCCTTCTGCAATCAACGTGTTAGACCAATTTTTTAAAAAAATCCCTAATACTTTGCTATATCTGAAGATGTTGAACAAGAGGGGGAGACACTCTTGGACGAACTGTAAGCTGTAGTCGTCGGGGCACACTTGTAAGAAGTCTTGGAGGAGTTGGTCGATGACGCAGTCGAGACGGGCTTCGTGCGCGGCCCCCAGGGAATGCATCCAGCAGTGGAGCGTCCAAGGGACCCCCAAAGCCCTTATTTCGACCGTTATGTCCAAGTGGTTGTTCTCCGCACTGTGGTACATGGCTTCTTGCAACGATTTCACTTGAGTTTTAGTGAAATGGGGCGTTGAGTTCGACGAAGAGGAGCAAGTTGGGGTCGTTCCCTCGGCTAAAATCTCCTCCAAAGACAAGACTTCTTTATTTACCGGGATTAAGGGTTGTGCGAGGAGTTTTTGCAAGATGGCTCTTTGGCCATGGGCTGCAGCTACCGAAATTGCGCTGTAGCAGCCCCTTTGAGCCGACGCTGAGTAGCAGAGGGAGTCCTTGATTTGGGTGGAGAAAAACGGGTGCGCCCCGTGGGCCAACAGGAGGGACACCACCTCGGAATTGCCCGTCCCGCAAGCCACCTAAACAATTTCGAATTTGCAAAAATAATCAAAAAATTCAAAATTTGAAAAAATTTGTAGAAAACTTATATAAATAGAGCGCGAATGTGGATTGGTAGCACTGCACGAACTGTCAATATCATTTACATATTTCTTTAATAAACACATAAAGGCGTTGAAAAATTCAACACGAACGACATTTGTGTGAAATCTGGATGTTAATCCTCAAGATTTTTCATCTAATAAGTTTATTGAAAGCAATGTTGCCAGATCAAAAACATAAAATTCACCATATCCGAGTTGAAAAATTTTCACCAGATTTATGATTTGTATGGCTATATTTCACAAAAAACGCAATTTTCGGCTTAAAAATCTGCTTAAACTCTTGAAAAAAATCAGAAATGACATACTTTTAGCCTAATTCTGTGATTTTTCAGCTTGTTTTCAACAAAATTTTGCTAAATAATTGCATTTTCTAGCTGATAAATAAACGTGCTAAAACGTTCGAAAAAATAACGTCATTTTAGACTTTATTTCTTGATTATTTAGTTTGTATTACTCAAAAATAGCGAAAAACCTGAGATTTTCATACAAAAACGTGCTTAAAAGCATTTTGTGATTTTTACGCGTGTTTGGGGACAAGACTTTGCATAATAAATATGAGCTTCTGATTCAAAAACGAACTAAGTCGGACGAAAAAGCTAAAAAATGATATCAATTTCAATTTAATTTTGTAATTTTTAGCCTGATTCAATGCAATATTTTGAACTTTTTGTGTTTTTATCTCTCAAAAAGACAAAAAAACGTCGTCTTTTGAGCAATTTTGTTGCTTGTTTTTGACAAACTAATTGTGTTTCTACCTAAAAAAGCATTCGAAAAAAACAAAGTAAGTTGTTATTTTTGTTTAGTAATAAATATTTTGTAAAAAAAAAAACAAATAAAACTATTTTCAACTAATTTGGTGGTTTCCCATTATTTTTCGAGAAAATTTGGCAAAATAATCAAATTAAAGCCTAAGAGTTAGGTAAAAATGTCATAATAAAATCTTTTTTTATAACAATTTAGTGATTTTTGACAAGCTGTAGTAAACTCTAGCAAAAAATAGAGTTTTCAGCTTAAAAATCTACTTGAACTTTGGAAAAAGGAAAAAATTATATTTCATCCTAATTCAGTGTTTTTGGCTTGTTTTTAACAAAATTTTGCGAAATAATTGAGTTTCTAGCCGAAAAACAAGAGATGCAAAATTAACGTTATTTTCGACTTAATTTGTTGATTTTTCAGTTCGTTTTAGCCAATCTCACAAAAAACCTGAGATTCTAGAACAAAAACGTGCTTAAAAACATTCTCGGCTTATTTTTGCTCAAGAACGAGTTAAATCGAGTGAAACAATTTTTCATCTAATAAGTTTATTGAAAGCAATTTAAGTCCTACGCATTGTTGCCAGATCAAAAACATAAAATTCACCAGATCCGAGGGAAATTTTCACCAGATTTGTATGGCTATATTTCACAAAGAACTCAGTTTTCAGCTTAAAAATCTGCTTAAACTCTTGAAAAAAAGCAGAAATGACATGCTTTCAGCCTAATTCTAAGATTTTTCAGCTTGTTTTCAACAAAATTTTGCTAAATAATTGCGTTTTCTAGCTGATAAAACGTGCTAAAACGCTCGAAAAATACAAAAATAATGTAATTGTAGACTTTATATCTTGATTATTAGTTTGTTTTACTCAAATCTAGCGAAAAACCTGAGATTTGCATACAAAAACGTGCTTAAAAGCATTTTGTGATTTTTAGGCGTGTTTGAACAGATTTTGCAAAATAAATATCAGCTTTTGGTTCAAAAACGAACTAAGTCGGGGAACAAGCTAAAAAATTTCAATTTAATTTTTTAATTTTTTAGCCTGTTTCAATGCAATATTTTGAATTTTTTGTGTTTTATCTCTCAAAAAGACAATAAACGTCGTTTTTGAGCAATTTTGTTGATTTTGTGGCTTGTTTTTGACAAAGTAATTGTGTTTCTAGCTAAAAAAGCATTCGAAAAAAACAAAATAAGTTGTTATTTTTGTTTAGTAATAAGTATCATGTAAAAAAACAAATCAACCAATTTGGTGGTTTTCGATTAATTAATTATTTTTCGAAAAAATTTGGCAAAATAATCAAATAAAGCCTATGAGTTAGGTAAAAATGTCGTAATAAAACCTTTTTTTATAACAATTTAGTGATTTTTGACACGCTGTAATAAACTCTAGCAAAAAACAGAGTTTTAAAAATCTACTTGAATTTTGGAAAAAGAAAAAAATTATATCAAATTCATCCTAATTCTGTGTTCTTTTGGTTTGTTTTTAACAAAATTTTGCGAAATAATTGAGTTTCTAGCCGAAAAACAAGAGATGCAGAATTAATCTTATTTTCGACTTAATTTGTTGATTTTTCATTTCGTTTTAGCCAATCTCACAAAAAACTTGAGATTGTAGAAGAAAAACGTGCTTAAAAACATTCTCGGCTTATTTTTTTTGCTCAAGAACGAGTTAAATCGAGTGAAACAAACAAAAGAACATCAGCATCAATTGTTTTTGTGATTTTTAAGCGTGTTTGGACAAGATTTTGTAAAATAAATGGTTCAAAAACGAAGAAAGTCTAGCGAAACAAGCTAAAAATAATATCAATGTTTCTTTAATTTTGTATTTTTGTTGCCTGCTTCAACAAAATTTTTAGAATTTTCTTTGTTGTTATCTCAAAATAAACACTTGAAAAAGGGCGAAAATAACGCCGTTTTTTAGTCGAATTTGTTGAATTTTTGGATCGTTTTTAACAAAATTTTGCGAAATAATTGTGTTTCTAGCTGAAAAAGTATTCAAAAAAAAGAAAAATAAGTTGTTACTTTCGGTCCTGTCTAGTAAAATCTTGTAAAAAACACACAGTTTTTTTCATTTCCAAAAAATCGCTAGATATTAGAATTTTTACAAAAGTTTTTACCAAATCACCAGATCTGGTGAAATTTCACCACACCTGTCAACGCTGATTGAAAACAATCTACTTCCAACGGCATTGTCACCAACATTGAAACATAAAATACACTAGAGACTGTTAACGCACCCAAACGAGTTTGTTTATCACAAAAAATGCTACTTACTTGGAGTGGGGTTAGGGTGCATTTGTCTTCACTTAATCGGGCCCCGCCTTCGACATTGGCCCCCCTTTCTAGCAAAATCCTGCAACAGCGGGCATGCCCCTTGGCCGCAGCATAAGTCAAAGCGGTCCAATGTTGCGTTTCGCCGTTAACAGCGCTGAAATTGGGGTTAGAAATGGGGGTTTCCACATCAACCGAAGCCCCCGCGTCCAATAAAGCCTACAAAAGTCAAGTTAATAAAAAATTTTACAAAGAAAATTGAAATACAGTCAAGGCAATATCATCATCATTGATCGCTGCCAACATCAATGCTGTGTGTCCTTGTAAATTCAAAGTGTCAAGTCTTGTGGAGACCGGAAGTAGTGAAACAGCATGCTGGATCAATTCCGGGCGTCCGGTTAGTAACAACCGGAACGCTAATTCGACTTGGATTTGCCTCGAGGCTTCAATGTGGTCGTCTTCGTTTCCGGTGTTTTTCCGGATTCTTAGCATCTCCTCCCCCAGATTTCTAACAGGGCAGTCGACTCCGGGTAGCAAAAGTCTCGCTGCTTGCATAATGTCGTCTTTATCGATCAAGGGGGCGAATCTGTGTTCACTGTGGGCTGTCGCAACCCTCAACCACTCCACTAGTGGCGGAAGGACAACATAAGCCCTCTCGTAGCACAGCTCTTGGACCGCGCTAGCCCCCTGTTCGACATGTTCAAGTTGCGAACACCTCATGAAATAGAACAGTGTTCGCATGGCTTTGGGGCACAATGGCACGCGGGGCTGCATGCGACTGATCAAATCTTGCAACTCTTTCAAGGACCCCACACAAGTGGTCATGAGGGAGGGTTCCGGGGTTCGGGAGTCGCGCCCGGAGCCGATACTGGACATTGAGGCCCAGCGGGGGAGTGCCAGAGCCCCCGATGCGATCCTCCCAGCGTTGAGATGGGCGTAGGGCTGGAGCAGCCCCCACAAATCACCGTTGTTGGCAATTGCGTGCTCGAGGAGGGTGGCCGTGAGGGTCACTTCCGAGTCACTTGGGAGACACTGCAGGAGGATCTCCTCGAGGAGGTTCTCCAAGGCGGCGCAGAGAAACACCGCTGCGTATCTTCAAAAAGAGTTTTGAGGACCAGTGTTGCCAGGTCTGGTGAAATTTCACCAGATCTGGTGATTTTTATTTATATAATTTTAGTTCCGAAAAATTACTAATGTGAACAAAACATTCTTTAGGTAATGATATTTCATAAAAAATGACATTTCAGTTAAATTCTGTCGGAAAGAAATATGCATTTTTTGATTATGGTTTTGGTGAATATTCAAGAAATAGGAAACAAAAAGAAAAATAGGAAAAAAAATGTACAAGTCTCTTAAAACGAAAAATGTAACAAACTGTGTCTACAATCTTACAAAGATAAACAACCTAGAATTGTCGAAGTATCAATGTTGCCAACTTAAATTTGAATTTCCATGAGCAGCCGAGATGTCAGTCATTTTGAAACGTTTTATTGTTTAATGATACTTTCAATTATGAATTAACCTACAATAGTATAGTAATATTATCAATATCATTAAATAGACATAAAATGCTCAATTTTTCAATAAAATGCTCAATTTTTCCGACTTATTTGCCACCGAAATTAACTCCAAGAGAAAAATGGAATTCAATTAATGATTCCTCATATTTTCACATTACATTTTTGTGTTTTTCTGTTATTTCTGTTTACTATTTTCTTGTTTCATTTAGTCTTCCTGTTTAGTTATATTAAATTACTTTCAGGTTTTCTGTTTTTTCGACTACTTTTATCCATTTTTGATACTTTTTCATAATTTTCTTCTTTCTCCAATATTTCTGGCCTACATTCTTCCAATTTTAAGTCCAATATTCGTATTTCCATATTTTTATTCTTTCTTATGTTGTGCTTTTTACTCCTTTTTAACATCCTTGTTTCCAATTTTTCAACTTTATTTCTTTCTTTCTGATTTTTTGTAAATTCCACCTTAAATGTTTTTAACGTTGCTTTGTCTTTTTTAAAACTTTCTTTCAAATCAGTTTTGTCATCAAATTGTTCTGACTTCGCAAATTATCTTATTCTGATATTTTGTGTTTTCGGTTTGCTTTTAAATTAACTAATGACAAACTGAAACACAGTATCTAAACTAAATGAGTACTATATTGTATTAATTTTGCAAAAAAACTTTTAAATTATCAGAAAATTTGATGAAAAAAGTAAATCTTCTGTTTTTATTTTTTAATAGATTTGCTTTTCTTTGTTTTAATGTTTCTGTTTTTTATTATTCTTATTTTAGGTAAATTATCTGCTTTACAAAGCGTTTTTCCATTATTTTTGGTTGAGGCACATTGACGCAAAATGTCACCAACTGTCAGAAGTGTCAGATTGATTGAAATCCAATGCACTCTTGGTTAAGGTTTAAATACATTAAGGTTTTTAAATACATTACTCTAAATTTAACAACACATTTCAGTTTTTTTTTTGTTATATTTTTCGAATTTTATAATTTTCTTAAAATGCTCTAAATTTATTAAAATAAGCAGAAATAACACATTTTAGGCTTAATTTTGCAATTTTTTTGACAAAAACTCTTGGATCTTTTCGATTTACATTTTCACAGTAAAAACATTCTAAATTTATCAAAATGAACAAAAATTACGCACGTCAGAACTAATTTTAATTTTTACTTTTTTGTTTTTGCAAAATCTTTGAAATTTTGTGAGTTTTTCAATGAAAAACGCTGTAAATTCATTGAATTAAGAGAAAATAACAAATTTCAGATTTGCTTTATTTTTTTTCCTTGTTTTGACCAAAAACGCGCTAAATACATAGAGACATGGAAATATAAAATATTTCAAGCTTAATTTTGCAATTTTTTTCTTTGTGTTGCAATGAGTGCAAAGTTTTGTTTTTTGCGTTTCTGAGGGTAAGTCGCACGATTTCCTGATCTGTTTCGACAAAATTTTTATAAATATTTTAATTTCTGATGATTTTTTAGAATCTGACTGTAGTTCCAGCAGAAAATTAATGTATTTAATTTTTTTTTAATCGAGTGTTCGCCCAAATGTTAGTCAAATTAACTTTTTTAATTATTGATATAGTAAATTAAGTTAAAAATCATGATATAATTTTTTTTGTATTTTATTAAGCATTTTGCACAATTTTCTCAGAAACAAGTTAGAAAATCGAAAATAGTTTTATTTTTCTAAATGATATTTTACTCAACAAAGTAAAAAAATTGATAAAATAGGCCAAAAAGTGCATTATTTTGTCTACTTCTGAACGTTTTAGTATGTATTTAGCTAGAAACAGAACTATTTTGCAAAATTTCGTTAAAAACAAATCGAAAACAATTATCAAATTAGGCCAAAACTAGAGTTATTTCTGCATTTTTTGAGTGTTCAACACGTTTTTAAAATACATTCAAATTTTTGCTAAAACTGATTGAAAAATTACCAAATTATCGCTCGATTTAGTTCGTTTTTGAACCAGAGACGCATTTATTTTGCAGGATAACGTGCTTAAACACAAGAAAAATAAATCTAAATTGATGTTATTTCGTTTGTTTCATTCGATTTAACTCTTTTTGAGTAAAATTTTGTCAAAAAAAACAGAACGAAAAATACCAAATATGGTCGAAAATCGTGTTAATTGCAAGATTTTGCAAAAACAAACCAAAAAAACATCAAATCAAGTCATTATTTTTGCCTTTATCAAGTCTTTTAGCATGTTTTTCAAGTAAAAAAAGTAAATATCGGGTGACTGTAAATGACTTGGTGACAAATTTTAAATTTAATTTGGCAACCTTGACTTTCAAATTCAAACGTCAAACTTTTATAGGCAATTGTCATTCATTTGCGACGGGCGACTGCTGATTTAGCCGTCACTTGAAACATTCTGATATAACAAATTTAGAAGGATTAACTCTAATTCAGTGTTGCCAATAGATTTTTTGTCACCCGCTATTTCGCAAAATGTAATTAATTAAAAACTAGCCAAAAAATTATAGAATTAGACTAAATGAAATAGCTGTACATAATTTTGCATTTTTCGAGCGTTTAAGCACGTTTTTGAGCAGATTTGCAAAAAACGCAAATCTTCGACAGTATTTAAAAGAAATCATATAGGTAATCTTGTATTTGGTAAAAATAGGTGTTAAAAACAGTTACGGAATTAAAATTTCGGGCAGTATTGTCACAATGTAAACTCTAAAACAACCTTTACATTAATAACCTCATTTTTTACTCTTGTCATTTTACACTTAAAAAATAGCGTCACTGACAGAAAAGTTTCATTGTCAAATGTCAGTCATGAATGTCATGATGACAGTAAAAGGTAGTTTACACTGAACATTTTGAAGTGACAGAAAAATACTGCCCGAAATTTTAATTCCGAAACGGTACCTAAATCTGGTAGCTTTTCAGCTCAGATCTGGTGAATTTAATTATTTTGCGCTGGCAACACTGTTGGAGACTTACTCATGGACGAATCTTGCGAGTTTTATGTCGGTCATCCAGCGGTGGAAGCGCCCGATGTGGAATTGGAGCCCCGCTCGGAGAGATTTGCTCTGTTTGAGGGCGCAGTCCCCCGACATGGCGAGCATGGCGGCTGCTCGGAGCGACGCTTTGATGCAGGAGTCGGCCAAAGGGGGGCAAAGCACAATTCGGAAGGAGACAGTAATGTCGTGTTTGGTGCAAATACCGAGAGTTGACGACAGGCGTTGAATTTCGCGCCCAATGCGGACTAAAGCTCGTTGCAGTAAGTAGGAAAGTCGGGGGATTGTCTCGACGCTGACTCGGGAGACATGGTCTCGGAAGCGCCCCGTTTGTAACACTCGCAAAATGCAGTGGTTGGTCCAAGGGAGGTGTTGCAGCTCGACGAGGCTAAAATGTTTTCAAAATTGGCGCCAAATCTTTAGGAAGTTTTGAAAGTAGAAGTTGGTACCGAACACAAACATCAATTAAAAAATTATGAAAATGTGATTTTTTTCTACCAACTTCTAGCTTCTAAACTATTAAGAGTTTTGGGGTTTTCTCGATGTCAATCAACTTCCCGGAACATTTTACATAGGTATACATTACACCTTTGAGGTACAGTTTTGAGACAAAGTAACAAAATTACATAAAAAGTAAATATTCGTGAAACTGGAAAATTNTATACATTACACCTTTGAGGTACAGTTTTGAGACAAAGTAACAAAATTACATAAAAAGTAAATATTCGTGAAACTGGAAAATTAGTTTTTTCACAGCCAATGAGGAAAACAAATTTAAATTTACAAAAAAGTTTATTTTTTAACACTAAAACGATTTATTTTTATTGCCAAATGAAGAATTAAGAACTATTAAGAGTTTTGCAGTTTTCTCGACGTCAATCAACTTCCCGGAAAATTTTACATAGGTATACATTACACCTTTGAGGTACAGTTTTGAGACAATTTAACAAAATTACATAAAAAGTAAATATTCGTGAAATTGGAAAATTAGTTTTTTCACAGCCAATAAGGAAAACAAATATAAATTTACAAAAAAGTGTTTATTTTTTAACACTAAAACGATTTATTTTTATTGCCAGATGAAGAATTAAGAACTATTAAGAGTTTTGCTGTTTTCTCGACGTCAATCAACTTCCCGGAACATTTTACATAGGTATACATTACACCTTTGAGGTACAGTTTTGAGACAATTTAACAAAATTACATAAAAAGTAAATATTCGTGAAATTGGAAAATTAGTTTTTTCACAACCAATGAGGGAAACAAATTTAAATTTACAAAAAGTGCTTATTTTTTATCACTAAAACGATTTATTTTTATTGCCAAATGAATAATTAAATTTAAACTCATCATCTCTGTGTTGATTTGTGAATTTCTTGGTAACAGTAATTTTTATTGCCAACTGAGAATACACTTTTTATTGCAAAAAAATTGCGATTTTGTTATACTAAGCGAGAAAAAGATACGAATTTTTCAAAGCCAATTGAGGAAACAAATTCAAATTTATCATTTTTAAAAGTCATATGAAAGCATTAATCCGGAATCTACTAAGAAGTGACGAAATAGTCCTTTATATAACATTAATTTTTCATGGCTAATTGTAAAAATTAATTTAAATTTATTCTTTTTGCGTCTTTTTAAAAGCAAATTCAAATTGAATTAAAACAGTTTTTTTATGGATAATCGGTGAGGTTTTTACAAAATCTTGTATTTGATTGGCTGGACACATTTATTTATTTGTCTGATTACAAGAGTCAATAATAATCATTTCCCACTCATGTAACTACCACTATCGTGAGGACAAACCGATTTTTGTTTCTTATTGGCCAAAATCCGACAAAAACCTAGCAACGATAAGTAACTCCACCCATTTAAAGTAAAAAAAAAAAAAAGTTATTTACTTTAATTGGATCTAATTTTGCACAATGGGTGGAGCCAACTCCACCCCGCATATGAATCATGCGATTATTAGACCAATAAAAAGTAAAAAATTATTTAATGCGTTAAAGTTGAGTGTCATTGTTCGATCCTTAACCAATCAATTACGTCTTTTAAAATCAACCAATCAGAACACGTATTAGATTTTTGGACAAGGAAAATAAAAATAATAAAAATTTTTGTTTTAAACATCCGTTTCTTTGATTTTATTGCCAATATAAAAAATTATTGTTTGAAAAATAAACGTTAATTATGTTTCTTTACTGTCAAATGTCCAAAATGTCAAAATTTGACATTTGCTCAATTTTTGATTCAAAAACAGCGATTCGAGTCGTTTTTAGGGGTTTTAGCTTTTATTTGACAAATTAAAAAAAATAATTCATAAACCCATAATTTGACAGATTGATTCTTTCCATACAGTTGGTGCAAAACTTAGCACAAAAATGGTTTAGAAAAGAATTCAAATTTTCAAACAAAAGGTTTTTTTGTTTTTTTTTTGCCAGCGGTGGCTCACTTACAATAAATTACTGCCAATATTAAAAATTTGAACAAAATCGATTAATAAATAATGAAGTTAGAGCAATTTCGTAGTTATAGTGCTAAATTAGCCCCAAAATTTACAAATGAGAGCTAAAACCACTTGCAAAATCTTCGAAAAAAAATTCAAAAGTACATAATTCGACAGATTGGTCCCTTATGTACATCAGTGCAAAATTTAGAACAATTTGAACCACTCAGAGCCGTAATGAACAATTTTTTAATTTAAAAAGGGCCAAAAAAAATTCAAATTCTCAAACAAAAAAACATTTTTTTTGTGTTTTTGCCAGCGGTGGCTCACTTAGAATGAATTACAGCATTGTCTACGTTTTTTGTGCCAAATTTTCTTAAAAAAAATAAAAAAAACACCAAATTAATTGAAAAAAAGAATTACAAGATTTTACTGAACAGGGACGAAAATGACAATTTTTGAACAATGTTAACAGAAAGTAAGTTTTTCCACTCTAATTATTTTGCAAAATTTCATTAAAAACAAGCCAAAAATAGTGTTAACTTTGTCTTTTTCAAGAGTTTAAGCACGTTTTTGTGGTAAAACCTAAAGTTTTTCGCGATATTTCGGTAAAGCCAACTAAGAAATCATCAAATTAAATAAAAAATTATATTATTTTTGCACTTTCCGAATGTTTTAGTCCGTTTTTCAGCTATAGAAATACAACTGTTTCACGAAATTTTGTCAATAACGAACTAAAAATTCAAGAAAGTAGTCCTAAAATATGTTAATTTTGCCTTTTTTGAGTGTTTAAACACGTTTTTGAGATAAAAACAAAAAAATTTGTTTAAACGTGGTAAAAAATTAGAAAACTAAATCAAAATTGCTATTTTTTTTTCGCTCGACTTATTTCGTTTTTTAACCAGAGGCTCATTTCTTTTGCAAAATCTAATTTTCTAATTCAAAATGATCCAAAAAAATTCAAATTCCCAAACAAAAGACCATTTTTTTGTTTTTTGCCAGCGGTGGCTCACTTAGAAAAAATTACAGAAACTTTAAAAATTTCAAGAAAATTGGTCCACGATTAGCTAATGAAGTTAGAAAATTTTTTAGTTGCAGTACTAAGCTAGCCTCAAAATTTACAAATAAGGGCTAAAAACCATTTATTAAATCTTAGAAAAAAAATTCAAAAGTACATAATTCGACAGATATTGGTCCTTTATGAACAAACAGTGTAAACTTTAGAACAATTATGTTTTAACTAGGTACTCTGTTTATGTAAAAAAAAACGTTCAGTTTTCATTATTGAAAAAATTTACTTATATCATAATCTTCTAGTTTGGTGAAAATTATAAATAAATTCATGATGGAAATAAAAATTATTTAGAATCATGAAATATACCTTATATGATGTGATAAAATATAAATAATAATGCACCGAACTAAAAAAAATTGCACTATGACCTATTTCGTGTGTAATCCGGCAGGTGGCACTAACGCAAACGTTAGGTTTGCTACTCGGATTTCCAACACCGTAAGGATATTTTCCAAATAAGGTGGATAAGGAAAGTCGTGTGATGTTCACATCAGATTTTTTTGAGCTGGCAACACTGATAAATAGATTTCAAGAACGTCATTCATCGGCTATATATCTTCACTGTCACTATTTTTCAATGTTACCAACTTAATTTCGTAATCATTACCGATTATGCGAGTCGACCCATACAAACTCGTCGGCGCTGGTAATATTCGTGTTGATGGTCTCGAGGGAGGAGTGTCTCATGAGCCTCCTCACCGCGGGCTCCGAGCTCTCCGAGCCAGCACTAATACTCGAATAAGTGCTCGAGGAGGTATGCGAGCGCATTGTGAGTTGTTGCAGGGCCAACTTGATGTCTTCAAGACCTCCACTTCCGGTCCAGGGAACATGCAACTACTCATCATCATGCATTGTTACCAAATTTGAGAAAAAACAAACCCTAGCTGGTGTAGCTCGATGTCTTGCTCGGTTGTGTTGGACCGAGGCTCGATTTTTGAGGGATTTTTGCATAACTCCGGCTGTGAGACGATCAGTGCCTCGAGGAGAGCTGTTTCCATTGTCGGACATGCTGGCATGGCCGGAGGAACGGTTCTCGTCGGAGGAACTGTTGCAATTCTGCGTCCTTTGTTGCTAAAAATTAAAAAAAAAATGTTTAAAAATAAAAAAAATAAATGTATAATTCGACAAATTGGTTCTTTATGTACAATCAGTGCAAAATTCAGAACAATTTGAACCATATCAAGGCCGTAATGAACAATTTTCGGATTCAAAATTGTCCAAAAAAATTCAAATTCAAAAATTATAAAATTAAATCAAAATGGATATTTTTTGTCGTGCTCGACTTATTTCGTTTTTTAACCAGAGGCTCATTTATTTTGCAAAATTTAATTTTCTGATTCAAAATTGTCCAAAAAAATTCAAATTCTCAAACGAAAGACCATTTTTTTGTGTTTTTTGCCAGCGATGGCTCACTTAGAATGAATTTCAGAAAAAAAAAATTCAAGAAAATGGGTCATGGCTAGCCTGAAAATTTACAAATAAGGGCTAAAAACGTCTATCAAACCTTAGAAAAAATATTCAGAAATGCATAATGCAACAGATATTGGTCCTTTATGTACAATCAATGCAAAAGTTATTGTTTATTTGTTTTCAATTATTGATTAAATTATGTTAAAAATAAATAATATTACGTATTTTTGCTTCTTTTTCGGGGATTTTCCACGTTTTTTAACCAGAATCCTCGTTGTGCAAAATTTTCTTTAAAAAAATCAAAAAAACGCCATATTAATAAAAAAATTTCTGGGGCTTTTATAAGATTTTATTAAACAGGGTCGAAAATGACAATTCCCCGACGACCCTACCAGAAAGTAAAATTTTCCAACGTAATTATTTTGCAAGATTTCATTAAAAACATGCCAAAAATGCCTTTTTCAAGTGTTTCGTGCTAAAAGCTAAAGTTTTTTTGCGAGATTTCACTAAAACAAACCAACAAATCATCAAATTATATCAAAAATTACATTATTTTTGCATTTTTTGAATGTTTTACCCAGTTTTTCAGCCATCAGATACGCAATTATTTCGCGAAATTTTGTTAAAAACGAACTAAAAATTTAACAAAACAGCCCAAAATAGTTTAAGCACGTTTTTGAGATAAAATCAAAATAAAAATAAAAATTCGTTTAAACGTGGTAAAAAATTATAAAATTAAATCAAAATGGATATTTCTTGTCATGCTCGACTTATTTCGTTTTTTAAAGACCATTTTTTGTGTTTTTTGGGAGCGATGGCTCACTTAGAATGAATTACAGAAAGATTAAAAATTTTAAGAAAATGGGTCAACGATTAATGAAGTTAGAATTTTTTTTAGTTGAAGTACTAAGCTAGCCTGAAAATTTACAAATAAGGGCTAAAAACGACTCAAATCTTAGAAAAAAATCAGAAATAATGCACAATACAACAGATATTTTTCCTTTGTGTACAATCATTGCAAAAATTATTGTTTATTTGTCTCCAATTATTGAATAAATTATGTTAAAAATAAATAATATTACGTATTTTTGCATCTTTTTCAGGGATTTTCCACGTTTTTTAACCAGAAACTTCGTTGTGCAAAATTTTCTTTAAAAAATCCAAAAACGGAAAATTAATAAAAAAAATTCTGTGGCTTTTATAAGATTTTATTAAACAGGGTCGAAAATGACGACGAATTTTTCCAACGTAATTATTTTGCAAAATTTCGATAAAAATATGCCAAAAATGATGTTAACTTTGCCTTTTTCAAGTGTTTAAGCATTTTTTTGTGATAAAAGCTAAAGTGTTTTTGCGAGATTTCACTAAAACAAACCAAGAAATCATCAAATTAAGTGGAAAATTACATTATTTTTGCATTTTTTAAAATGTTTTAGTCAGTTTTTCAGCTAGAAACGCAATTATTTCGCTGCGAAATTTTTTCAAAAACGAACTAAAAATTCAACAAAACAGCCCAAAAATAGTGTTAATTTTTCGAGATTTTTGAGATAGAACCAAAATAAAAATAAAAATTCGTTTAAACGTGGTAAAAAATTAAAAAATTAAATCAAAATCGATATTTTTTGTCGTGCTCGACTTATTTCGTTTTTTAACCAGAGGCTCATTTATTTTGCAAAATTTAATTCTCTGATCCAAAATTCTCCAAAAAAAAATCAAATTCTCAAATAAAAGACCATTTTTTTGTGTTTTTTATAAATTAGGGCTAAAAACCACTTATCAAATCTTAGAAAAAAATGCAAAAATAGATAATTCCTTTAGGTAAATCAGTGCAAAATTTAGAAAAATTTGAACCATAATAAATCTACAGTTTTTTTTAATTATTATTGTTGTAGTAAATTATATCAAAATTAAATAATATTACGTATTTTTGCACCTTTTTACGAGCATTTTCGACGTTTTTTTTAACCAGAAACTTCATTGTGCCAAATTCTCTTAAAAAAACGAAAAAACAACAAATTAATTAAAAAATTTCTATGGTTTTTACACCATTTTATTGAACAAGGTTGAAAATGACAATTTTTCGATGACCTTAACAGAAAATAACTCTTTCCACCCTAATTATTTTACAAATTTTAATTAAGAACAATTCAAAAATGGTGTTAATTTTGTCCTTTTTAAGTGTTTAAGCAGGTTTTTATGTAAAACTTGCAAGATTTCGCTAAAACAACCAAGAAATCAACAAAGTAAATCAAAAATTAGATTATTTTTGCATTTTCTGAAAATTCGATTAAACGTGGTAAAAAATTATAAAATTAAATCCAAATTGATATTATTTTTTTACCCAAGTCGTTTTTTAACCAGAGGCTCATTTATTTTGCGTAAAAATCACAAAAAGAATTGATGTTAAGTAGTGCCTAGAAACCACAAACTTTGGTCAAAATGCTTTTAAGCAAGTTTTTGTTTTATAATCTCAAGTTTTTGCAAGATTTCGCTAAAATGAACCAAAAAATCAGTATTATTTTTGTATTTCTCGAGCGTTTTAGCACTTTTTTCAAATTATCTCGCAAAATGATGTTCAAAACAAACCGAAAAAATCACAGAATTAGATCGAAAATGACGTTATTTTTATCTTTTCAAAGAGTTTTTAAGCTGGAAACTCGCGATGTTGCCATACCGAGATTTCGCTAAAACAAACTAAGAAATCATCAAATTAAATAAAAAATTATAATATTTTTGCAAACAAACTAAAAATTCAAGAAATTAGTCCAAAAAATGGTGTTAATTTTGCCTTTTCGAGTGTTAAAATTATGGTAAAAATTATAAAATTAAAACTTGTCTCCCTCGATTTATTTCGTTTTTTAACCAGAGGCTCATTTATTTTGCAAAATCTTGTCCAAACACACCGAAAAATCATAAAAAGAATTGATATTAATGTCGTTTTGTTGGTTTTTTAGTAGCAAAATTAAGTCAAAAAAACCAAATAAATAAAAACAATAAAAAAATATTGTGGTACCTGTTGTAAGCGGAGTTCTTGGATTGTCACATGGTGGTGTTGTCGCGCGTTGGAGGTCCCCTGGGGCAGATTCCCCGTGTTTTCAGGGGCTTTCGAGTCCGTGTCCCGTTCCGGGACCATATTACTCTTATACTCATTATTTAGATTATTTTTGCTGATGTTTTTGTCGGTTTGCTCGTTAAAAGTGGCCGTTTTCACATTATTCGCGATGTAGAGGTGCTGGAAATGCTCCACTTTCCGCTTCGGGGAGACCATCCCCTCGTCGACGTGTGCAGGGGGCGTCTCCCCTTGGTGGTTGAACTCCCCCTTCGAATTGTTCGACAATCTGGAATCACACAATTTGGTGTTTTTGAGACCGGTTATTTGTGTGTGTTGGTACCTCCGCTGCTCTAAATAGTACTTTAACATGTCTGCTTCCATCCCAAGGGGAAAATCATCACAATCCTCGTAATACTCGTTACAAGTCCGCACGTCTTCGAGGATTTGGCTCGCGAGCGAAAAAGTGTTTTTGAAAATAACATTGATAATATGACTGTTTTCGATCGAGTCAAGAGTCATGTATTCGTCGATTTGTTCTTTGATTGTGATTCGAGAGTCTTCGATGGGTTTCAAATCATCGTTTACGTAAATCACCGATTTGTGTTTTTTTTGAGTTTGACCCTTTTGGGGTGTGTTGTTAAACCAATCGTCTTTTTCCATTCCGAAAAATGTGTATTTAGTCGTTTCATTTTCGGTCGGTTTTGTTAAAATGAAATTATCCCCCGCGAGGTCACTATTTAAATTTGGTTCACAACCTTTTAACTCGAGACACAAAAGACAGTTACAGAACTCATCACAACCCATGGCTAACACTCATAACGAAAGATTTGAGGAGACTGAAGCGAAGCGAAGTAACAAAATGAAATTGTATGAACCACTTCCCATAAAGCTATTGTCTTTGCTTTTAATAACCTAGAGAGTGTTTTTCGATTCATTTCACTTATTACCTGTATCATCATTCATCAGTAAAAGTTTTACTCAATTCGTTTTTTTTTTCTGGTTCTGGTGGAGTTTCCAAAAATACGAAATTGTCATTTTTAAATAATGCAATGAGAGAATTTTTGATTATATCAAGATCATCTTGAACTTGATTTGGAATGTGGAAAGTTTTTCCTTTTGTTTTTTCGATTCAAATTCGGATGGCGTGAATTATTTGAATTTCTGGCTTTCATTTATATTTTTGTCAAATAATACTTTTAATACTATGTTATGTTATTAGGAGTGGAAGAAATACATAGTTTAAGTGGCGAAGCTAAATGTTTATTTTTCCGAACGTAGTGAGGCAAATAATTCATCTGAGCCACATAAACTCACTTTTACTCCGAATAACATACAGGGTGCGCCAGAACTCGCGCCCCAGAAAAAAATGCCATATAAGGTAAGATACCAGGAACATGGAAAAAATGTTAAAAAAAAATTATCTAAAAAAATTTCGAAATTATAAGAGTTTAAAGTTTGCACTTTGCCTCTATTTATTTCTGTTGGAAAAATAATTGTAAAACAAAAAATATACAAAATTAACAGTCTCATTAAATAGATATAAAAAAATGTCAAATGTCAAAAAATAAATGTCAAAATTTTTTGACAGATAGAAATTTTTAAACATTTTTTCATGTTCCTGGTATCTTACCTTACTTGAAAATTTTCTCTGGGGCGTGAGTTCTAGTATACAGGTATTTTATCCGCAAACTAGTCAGATTGAGAGTAAAGAGCAACTCTATAATTAGCAAGCAAATGAACAAAATAATCAGGACGCTTTGTAAGTAATAAAATCATAACAACGCTTATAAACAAACATCACGCGTCAGTATCGGAATTTGTGTTGAGATTTACGAAAGTGTTTATTAATTTAAGTAGTGCAGTTAGTAGTACAAAATAAAGAATACTGTTGCAGCGAAAAAGACCAGAGAATATGGTAATTTTTGCTTTATTGCTGAAAGGTAAAACTTTTTTAATCATAAAAGTGGTCGCTTTTGCGGATAAAAGCTCATTTCAGTAAAAAGTATTATGGTTTCTGATGGATTTGCGACGAAATTTTTTGTAACATATTTGACCCAAAAACACGGATTTATCGATTTCCATTTTTCAACAATAAATTCAGTTTTAAAAATTAATGAATAATTGTAGTTAATCTTAACACACTGTATTTTTTAATCAAGAGCAATTTGTCTTAATGTTATATTTAGTATTTGTTTCTAATTGCTGTGAAAAAGCAAAAATTAATTTCCACACCTCGTGCCATTTCTATCTACGAGTATTGGCAACGTTGCAACTGCGTTTTTGAGGTTAAATACATCAGAAACTTTTGATTTATGTAACTAAGGAAGAATCTGTATTACTATTTTATACATAAAAGTAGTGAAAATTTTATTGTTATGTTTAATAAAATGTCAAATTATTTGGAAAATACCTATGATGCTACCGAAAAAGTTGTTAAATTTTCACTTTGTTTTAGACAAAATTGGTTTTAATCAATTAATCAAGACAGGTGTTCCAACATTGGAAAATTTTCCAGACAACTGACAGGTATTGATTGACGTTATTATTCATAAAATTTTCACAATACTCTAGATCTACATTCTTTTATAAACACATTGTATAATTTTAATCAATTGTAAAAATAATAAATACGAATAAAGTTATTTTTTTAATTAAGCCAAATTCTTTGTAGATTTTTATCTAATTGTTCTTGCATTTATTTTAGGAGTACTTCTCAATAAAAATAAAGATTTTTTTGTATTATAAAGCTTTCAGAAGCTTTAATAGTATATTATTATATGAGCGGTTTATGACAGCTATTATTCACGAGTGTAGCAAATCATATGAGTAAAAAATGGCACGACTTTTGCTAATAATTGTCACATAATTAATTAGGTGTTTTTTGAAGGGGATTTTTTTGAAGGGTTAAAGCTTTTAATTGTAATTCATTTTTAAAACTTACATGTAGTTTATCTTATTTGATTTGCAATTTTTTAATTAAAAATAATTAAGCATACCAATTTCAATGTTATAGTTAGTATTTGTTTCGAATTGCTTTGTAAAATTGAGGTAATAATACCACTTTAGCATGTGACCTTGAGTGTTAACGGCAATTTGTAACAGACTTTAAAGTCATTAGTATCAATAAAAAAGAAAATTTTTACTCGAATTAACTTATTTCTAATCGATTTTAAAATACTAAATAAGAGAAATTATAGTTTTTCTATCAATTTATTGGATGACATTGCACTACTTAATACCTACATACTATACAGGGTGTCAGAACTCGCGCTTCAGAGAAAAATTTCAGATAAGATGAGATACCAAGAACATGGTATAATAAAAAAACCTATCTGTCAAAAAAAATTAAAATTTATTTTTTGACATTTGACAACTTTTTATGTCTTGTATATAGGGTGTGTCAGAACTCGCGCCTCATAGAAAAGATAAGATACCAGGAACATGGTAAAAATGTTTCAAAAATTCTATCTGTCAAAAAATTTTGACATTTATTTTTTGGTATTTGACTTTTTTATGTCTATTTAATGATACTGATGATCTTGTATATGTTTTTTTATAATTGTTTAGTAAAAGTACAGTTGGAGACAAAATACTTTGGTCGTCTTGAGTGACATTAAATTGTAAAGCTTGCTTTAGGACTGTTAACCTTATTTTTAGCTCCTGTTAATCCTAGTTGACAAGGTGTCATTGTCATTAATTTTTACGTTAAAGCTTGAATTACATTAAACTGTCAGAAAAGTGACGACCAAAGTATTTTGTCTCCAACTGTACAAAAATTTTGGCAATAAAAGTCACAAATAACACAGTTACAATTTAGGATACAGCTTTCTTGTTTCCTATTCTAATAGACTGTAGCAAAAAAACTTTGAAAATTTATTTTCCAACAGAAATAAATAGTCAAAGTGCAAAATTAAAACTCTCATAACTTCGAAATTTTTATAGATAGAATTTTTTTAACATTTTTCCCATGTTCCTTATTACCTTCCATTTTTTTTGTGTGGTGTGAGTTCTGGTGCATTCTGTATTAAAATCAATATGAAAAAATATTTTCAACAAATAGTGAATAGAATGCGTGTTTGTTAACAAAAATTGCGGTATTATATCCGTGAATCCCTGAAAATAATTGAAGCAAGTAAAAACAATAGTCCAGAGCACGCGTAAACCCAACCTTGGCTTGTTTAAATCAAAACAAAACAAATTCCCATACTTTCCTAGGCGAAAAGTAGTTCTACTTTCTACAAGTAATGTCTGCTATTCGATATTCTCACATTTCAAGTGTAAAGAAACGCTAATTAGTCTTAATTGAATTAATGAATCAGTGGTGTGAACTGGGCTTTAAGTGAGAGACACGAAAGTGAACGCTTTTTGATCCACCTACCGTCTCGGTTTCGGCCTCAGTATCTCATGGTTGGCATCGGTGATACACAGGGGGCTGAGGGGCCCAGAGAGGTGGTCCACCCCCGTCCAGGGCTGTTCGGGGGCGTCTTTCCCAAGCGGGGCCATCTCCCAGCCCGCGGGGCCCTTCTGCTCATCTACGACGCACCAATAAACCCATTGAACCCTCCGGCACCGAATCTCACCTGTTGCTCCATCGCATTCCATTCTCGACGACTTTTTGGGGCTCAAAGGGCACTCATTTTGCGATTTTTCGCCTTTTCTCACAGAGCACTTGTAAACATTACCTTGACCAGCAGCGCCACGACCGGGATGGCCCAAAGAAACGGACGAAAAGTGGCCAGCGTGAGGCCAGACGACCTCTTCGCAGGTCGGAATTTATTGTGCGCCTATGGTCGCAAGAACTGGTTTTTAACAATGGGGACGTGAGGTGATTTCAGTCGAATCACTGAAATCGACTAGAATTTGGACATTTCAGCGTTTTGAGGAACAATTAACACGCTGAAAAGCCTAATGCTTGCAGTTTTGGGCCGAAAATTGAGGAATTTGGACCTACGTCCAAGTGAAATGAATAATTACTTGGTAGCAAAAAATCCGGTTGAAAATACCAAGATAATGAGTGGTATTACATGCGCCAATGTGGGGAGTTATTCAGCTTCGGTGCTACTGGAAAGATGATTTATTTGAGGAAGGAATAGCTCATCTATTTCGTACAATTTTATTTTAATAAATATTGATCATTCTTATTGATATTCTAGTGTATACTTTATTAGAAAAAATAACATTAAAAATTAGACAATTGTAAGTGTTGCCAACTGCAAATGTTCATTTGTGGGATTCCCCCGCGCTAGCTCTTCTCTTTTAAGTTTTGTTATTAAATTAAGGGTGCCAGTAATTGTAGTAGTTGCGTCAACATGTGTAGATGTGGTTAAAAAATTGTAATAATAATTTCAAATTAGTTCAATTTTAGGTTACGTTGCGTTACGTGCCGGTTTGCCAACTGTTGGTTTGACAGCTCGCCCACAGTGTTGCCAGATCTGATAAAATATCACCTGACCTGATGATTTATTATGCTTGTTAGTGAAAAGTTTGATACAAAAGAGTTGGGAGTTGAGAATTGAGAGTTGATTGAGAGTTTGGAGTTGAGAGTTGCGAGTTGACAACTAAGAGTAAAGAGTTGATTGAGAGTTGTGAGTTAATTGAAAGTTGTGAGTTGATTGAGAGTTGAGAGGGTGATTCAGAGTTGAGAGAGAGTTGATTGTTGATTGAGAGCTGATTGAGAGTTGGAAGTTGGTTCAGTGTTAAAAGTTGGGAGTTAAGAGAGAGTTGATTGAGAGTTGAGAGGGAGAAAGTTGAGAGAGAGGAAAAGAGTTGAGAGAGTTGAGGGAGAGAGAGTTGATTGAGAGTTGGGAGTTGAGAATTGAGAGTTGATTGAGAGTTGATTGAGAGTTGGGAGTTAGTTAAGAGTTGATTGAGAGTTGAGAGAGAGTTAATGGTTGATTGAGAGTTGGAAGTTGGTTCAGAGTTAAAAGTTGGGAGTTAAGAGAGAGTTGATTGAGAGTTGGAAGAGAGTTGATTTGCGAGTTGAGAGAGAGAGAGAGAGAGAGAGAGAGAGAGAAAGAGTTGAGGGAGAGAGAGTTGATTGAGAGTTGGGAGTTGAGAATTGAGAGTTAAAAGATAATTGAGAGTCGAAAGTTGAGAGGGTGATTGAGAGTTGATTGTTGATTGAAAGCTGATTGAGAGTTGGAAGTTGATTGCAAATTGGGAGTTTAGAGTTAAAAGTTGTGAGTTGAGACTTGAAAGAAAGTTGAGAGAGAAAGATTTGAGAGAGTTGAGAGAGAGAGAGAGTTGAGAGAGGAGTTGATTGAGAGAGTTGGGAGAGAGAGTTAAGAGAGAGAGAGAGTTGACAGTTGATTGAGAGTTGAGAGTCTGATGAAAGTTGATTGAGAACTGATTGAGAGTTAGAAGTTGATTGAGAGTTAAAAGTTTACAAAGAGTTGAAAGTTGATTGATATTTGAAACTTGGGAGTTGAGAGAGGGTTGATTGAGAGTTGAGAGAGAGTTGATCGTTGATTGAGAGTTGGGAGTTGACTGAGAGTTGAAAGTTGAGAGGGTGATTGAGAAAGTTGATTGTTGATTGAAAGCTGATTGAGAATTAAGAGTTGATTAAGAGTTGGAAGTTGATTGAAAATTGGGAGTTTAGAGTTATAAGTTGGGAGTTGAGAGTTGAAAGAAAGTTGAGAGAGTAAGAGTTAAGAGAGAGAGTTGAGAGAAAGAGAGAGGAGTTGAGTCTGATGAAATTTCACCTGATCTGATGATTTATTATGCTTGTTTGATGAAAACTTTAGTAGAAGAGTTGAGAGTTGTGAGTTAAGAAGAGTTAATTGGGAGTTGGAAGTTGAGAATTGGGAGTTTATTGCATGCCGGTTGGCCAACCTGTTCGTTTGAGAGCGTCGGTGAAAATGTGAGGTTTTAAGTTTTAATTTTGAACAAAGTTTCAAAATAAATTAGTAATTTGTTACAACGATCTAATTAATTAGAAACAATTCTAATTACAATTAATTGTTACGTTACGTTGCGTTGCGTGCCGGTTTGCCAACCTGTTCATTTGCCAGCGTCGGTGAAAATTATTTATTTTATTTTTTAAAATGAATTGTTTTCTTACAAAAAAACACAAATGTTTTAATTAATTAAAAACAATTCTTATTGCAACAATTTGATTTGCATTACGTTGGCCAACCTGCTCGTTGACAGCTCGCCAGTTTATGTTTACGACACGTCAGGTCGGTGAAAATTCGAGGCTTTAACATTTTATTTTGAACTAAGTTATAAAATGAATTAGTGATTTGTTGCAACGACCTAATTAATTGCACGTTACACTTAATTTGGAAGCAATGGGTGAGTAATTCGGGCGTTGTAAAGTCACAAAAGTGAGGTTATACAAACATTTCAGGAGTTTTATTTAGTTATTTTAAAAGCCTTCTGGGGGCTCGAGAGATGCGGATTCTGATTCTGGGCTTGGACGGAGCCGGTAAAACCACCATTTTGTATAGATTACAAGTAGGTGAAGTAGTTACAACTATACCAACCATTGGATTCAATGTTGAACAAGTACAATACAAAAACCTTAATTTCCAAGTTTGGGATTTGGGGGGGCAGACGAGTATAAGGTGAGGGGGCGTTATTCTTGCCCTGGGTTAATTTGTACACTTCTAGGCCTTACTGGAGGTGTTATTATAGTAATACAGATGCAATTATTTATGTGGTGGATTCGGCGGATAAAGAACGAATGGGGATTTCCAAAGACGAGCTATTTCACATGCTTAGGGTACACTTATCGTTTATTGCCACATTTAATGATTAATTTCTTGTAGGAGGAGGAATTAGGGGACGCAATTTTGGTCGTGTTAGCTAACAAACAAGACATTCCGGGTTGTATGTCTTTGAAAGAAGTCCACCAAGCACTCGGCCTCGAGGCACTAAAAAATAGAACGTTTCAAATATTCAAAACATCGGCTACGAAAGGTGAGGGCTTGGATATGGCAATGGAATGGCTGGCAAATGCTTTAAAAAATAAAAAATAACAGTAAATTATCACCCTATATTTCTAGTCTTATAATACGTTTTTAAATTATAATTTGCTGGTTTAAATTTTATTCACAGCTGGTTTTGTCGGTTTGATTCATTCCAATGTTTGCGTTACGCCAAGTATTTAATATTTCATACATTTTGTATCATAGAATTCAATAAATATGCATGTCATTAAAAACCAAAGGGTTTATTCATTACAAAATTAAAAGCAACAAAATAAATAAAGCTACATGTTTATGTACTTTTTATGCTTCCGCAAATGAACGGATAGGTAAGATGAGGTTGCGAAACTCCGGTTGCAGATGTTGCAAGTGTAGGGTTTTTCCCCGGTGTGTTTCCTGATATGTACGTTGAGACTGCTGCTCTGTGTGAATTTTTTTCCGCAGATTTCGCACTCGAAAGGCCTCTCGCCGGTATGCGTCCTCAGATGCTTGTCCAGATAGGTGGCTCGCGTAAAGACGCGTTCACACAGCGTGCAATTGAAGAGATTTTCCCCAGTGTGAGTCCTGGTGTGTTCTTGCAAATACGCCGCCGTTGTGAATTTTTTATCACACGTGATGCACGTGAACTTCTCTCCGGTGTGTTTCATGATGTGGGTTTGCAACTCGGAGGCGTAGTTGCATATCTTGTCGCACATTGTGCATTTGTAAGGTTGGCGGCCTGTGTGCTGTCTCATGTGGACCGTCAATTGGGACGAATGGGTGAACTCCTCGTTGCAGACTTTACAGACGAACTTCTCCCCCGTGTGTTTCTTCATGTGGACTGTCAAATGCGACGATTGGGTGAAGGACTTGGCGCAGACGGTGCACTGCCACGGCCTGTCCCCCGTGTGTGTCTTCAAGTGCGAATTCAGTATGTACCCCGAGGTGAACTTCTTATCGCAATAATTGCACGCGAAGGGTTTTTCCCCGGTGTGCGACCGCATATGCACCTGCAAATCGCTGGCTTTGATGTAGCGTTTCTCGCAACAGTTGCACGCGTACGGTTTTTCCCCGGTGTGGATCCGCATGTGGACTGTCAGTTCTGCGGTGATGGTGAAGCGTTTTTGACAAACGTTGCACTGAAACGGTTTTTCCCCCGTGTGGCGGCGGATGTGCTCCCGCAAGTGCGACGAGTGGTAGAACTTCTTGTCGCAGTATTTGCACTCGAAGGGTTTTTCCCCGGTGTGGGTGCGCATGTGGATCTTGAGATTTGCGTTTTTTGCGTATTTTTTCCCACATAGCTCGCAGGTGAACTTGTAGGGGTCCTCGATAATGATGGTGGTTTTGCTCTGTTGCGCCTCGAGCCGGGCCGCGGCGGGGGTGAGGCTCGGGTATTGGGGTAAAGGCTGAGTTTGGGTTTTCACAGATCGGGTTGGTACGACTGTCTTTTTCGCGAGTTTTTCATACTTGGCGAAGCCAGTCGTGGCGACTGAGTCGGGCGACGCACTGCGCGAGTTTTCCGGGGGTTTCCCGGACTTGGATAGACTATCATCATCAAGAAAGTGCTTGAGGTTGAGAAATTCGGTATTTTTAACAGTCTCGATGACAGTATTCTGGATCTGGATCGTGTGAGATAGCTGGAAATCGTCCAAATTCGTGTAGGACGTGACTTTTTCTTGGGAAAAATACTGCTGACAGGTGTTTTCAGACTGGATGCACAACAATCGAAACTCGTAGGCTATCCTTAGTTTTTCAATGCAATTTGAACACAACAAATTCGAGTATCCATTTTTTGTCCATGCCTAAAACCAAGATTAAAAAAACGGTTTTTTACCCATTGGAACTTACAATATCCGAAATACAAGCAACAAGTTTATCACATAATTTTATATTGTCCGAATCGACTGAATCTAACGGTGTTAAAGCACTTTCCACGCGTAAACAAGTGCGACAACAGTCCGTTATCTGAAAAACACTGTTCATTTTTAAACCTAACTAATAAAATTAACCAAATTGTTTATTTATAAACATTTTGTTTGACAGCTGTCAAATTGACAGAATAGATGACACCACTGCTAATTATAAAATCAATTAATTCCCGTGATAATCAACATAAAACTGTGCACAGTTATTTAGTAATAAATAATAGAAGTGTTGCGGTGTTTGAAACGCGAAACAAGCCCCCAGTTGCGGCACAAATCGGTGAAAACTTCGTGGGGAATTTGTCGTTTGTGTGTTGGTGGTGGCATTTTCACCAGACTTGACGTTTGTGTTGCGTTAAGGTTATAATAGTTAATTCCATGTCTGAAGAAATCGCGTTTGAAGACCGAAATTCCAATGGAATTGCGATGGAGACGATAATAAACGTTGCGGATTGTTGTCGCGCGTGTTTACGTATCGATTGTTCGCTCACACCCACAAGTGCCCAAGATAATGATTCGATAAAATTTTGCGACAAGTTGTTATCCTGCGTTTCCGAAGTTGTAAGTCTTGTGGTGTTGCATTACCAGCTCCTGTGAGCCCCTCTTTGTGTGCTTTAGATGTGGCAAAAGGAAGGTTTACCGTCGCTGATTTGTTCCACTTGTATTGAACGTCTGAGGGTGGCGTACGATTTTCGCAATATTTGTCTCCAGTCAGATCATACGTTGCACCGGTATATCAGTCACCTGCAGGAGGATAGTAAGACTATGGGGGTCAGGTCACTCACAACGCCGACCAAGTTCGATTTTACTATATCAACGAGCACCCAAGAAGAAATCCCGATAAGTGTAGAGGAGCCCCAAAACGCGGAATATCTCCACTTGAAGCATTTCCTCGACAATGACGAGGATTTGAGCAAAAATGAGGCGTTGGTGGAGGTGACCAGGTCGGATAGTACAAGTCCCGACTCGTCAACGACCACAGGTGGGGCAACATGAGAGAGAAAAAATACTACAGATTTGTCAACAAGAAATTACCACCAAGGATTTGAACTTTTAGGAAAATTACGTTTTTCATGTTGTTTGTAACTAGAATTTTCAGAAGTATTTTTGTGTGCCTAAGGTTGGTTACCCCTTGTTGTCGGTTGACCTTTTCTGTCAACTATCAATTAAATTATCCATACAAGCTGACAGGTGACTTAACCTAAATTTATTTTGACACTAGTTACGATATCACCAGAAACCAACCTAACCAAATTTGTGGCAACCTATTCATAAATATTCCTAAATCCGAGGGAGTAATTTCTTGTTGATACGACAATAAATATACTTTGTGCATCGAAGTAGTCGGTTATTTTAGGGTGGCAACCATGCGAAAATTCAAACAATCCTAACCTCAATCGGTCCTAAAAATTAATTTTTCAAATAAATGTGTGCCTCAGGTAGCAAACTTAAAGATTTTTGTCATTACTGATGTGATTATAGTATATTAAAGAACAAGTTTTATAAGGGTTGAATCCAAAGTTAGAAAACGAGCCGTAGACGAGTTTTCTATGGAATAAGTGCGCCAATGCCATTATAAAACGAGTATTTTATGCTATTTTTTCTAATTTGCGCCTCCTTTTTTCTTATTTTAATTAAAAAAATATATATTTTTGTCACCTAGAGAATTTTGTGTTAGTTGGTATCGGTTGGTAACACTCGGTGCCCACCTGTTTTTTGTGTCATTTCTGCCGTCTGTCATTAAAAATAAAATTTACAAATTATTAGTTATTAGTGTTACAACAAAATAATAATAAATAAAATATGAGAAACAGAATTTAGTTTGCACATTATCATTAAAAGCACAGTGTGCTTTTATAGATAGCCATAAACGACTCCCACTGGAGATTATTATAAACGCAAATTAGAAAAAATTTGTTCAGAATGACATTAATGACACTTTTTGTGTGAATCGGCCTTTATTAAAGATGCATTTAGACTTACAGCCTACTTGATACATATTTTTTCAGGTTTTTTGACCCAAAATCAAGAGGTTCAGCCGCAGCCACAGCTCCAGCCCCTCCCCCAAATAATCCAAATCCAGGGCCCCATTCAAGTGCCCCCCCGGCAGGTCATTAAACGCACAACCGGGATCCAAGTGCGCCCCCCGACTCCCGATCAAGACGGCGCCGACGTCAAACCCTTCACGTGCACAATCTGCGGGAAAAACTACCGCAAAAACGCGAATTTGCGCATCCACATGCGCACCCACACCGGGGAAAAACCCTTCGAGTGCAAATACTGCGAAAAACGGTTCTACCACTCGTCGCATTTGCGCGAGCACATCCGCCGCCACACGGGGGAAAAACCGTTTCAGTGCGCCGTTTGCAACAAACGTTTCACGATCAAAGGCGAACTCACAATGCATATGAAGTCGCATACGGGGGAAAAACCGTACGCATGCACGTGTTGCGACCGTCGGTGTCTCACCGCCGCCGATTTGAAAGTCCACATGAGGACCCACACCGGGGAAAAACCGTTCAGTTGTGTGACGTGTGGTAAAAAATTCGCGAGTACTTATATTTTGAACTCGCATATTAAGACCCACACGGGGGAACGGCCTTACACGTGCACGATTTGCGGTAAATCTTTCACCCAATCGTCGCATCTCAATGTGCACATGCGCAAACACACTGGGGAGAAGGTCAGTTGCAAGGTTTGCGATGCGAAATTCACGCATTCGTCGCAATTGACGGTGCACATGCGTGAGCATACGGGGAAGCAGCCGTACAAGTGCACAATGTGCGATAAAATTTGCAACTACGCATCTGAGTTGCAAACGCACATGATGAAGCACACGGGGGAGAAGTTCACGTGTGTCACGTGTGATAAGAAGTTCACCACAGCGGCGTATTTGCAAGAACACACCAGGACTCACACAGGGGAGAATCTCTCGACTTGTCCCGTGTGTGATCGGCAGTTTACGCGACATCAGTACTTGCAAAAGCACATGCGGACGCACACCGGGGAAAAACCCTACACGTGTTTCACGTGTGGGAAGAGATTCACGCAGTCGTCGTCGCTCAAAGTGCATATTAGGATTCACACCGGGGAAAAACCGTATTCGTGCACGATTTGCGATCGCAGGTTTACGACCTCGTCCGATCTCTCGGCGCACAACAAAAAACATAAAAAATACATCAATTTATAAGGTGTAGCAGAACTGTGATAACACTAGGAAAAACACTCATGTAATCAAGTTTATGTCATTGCTAGGACTCGAATCGCTTTCTTTTTCATTTTTTATATTTGTAAATAGAGGATTTCAGTATTACTCATTTTTTATGTGCTTTATTAGGCTTATTAATTCTCCAAGAGAATGCTTTTTAAGATATTATTATTAGTAAAATTATCGCTTTGCGATTTTTTCTCTTCTTTGGCACATTTCAGGATTTGAAATAAGAATTTTGATGGACTGTACAAATACAAGGTGAACAAAAATAATTGTACGAAAAATTATAGTGTTATAAAAATGTGATCGTGTTGAAATTCTGTTGTTTTTGAGGTTTGCGATGTTTTTTCACAATTGCAACATGAAATTTTATAAAATGCAGATAGTTTTAATCTTCAGAAAGTTTAAGAAAACTAAAAATTTTCCAAAACTCAAAAACAAAAAAATTTCGAGAATTTTTATCGGTGATAAAACCTCACATTTTTATAGTATTTTATCATTTTAGTTTTTTTCACTTGGTGTAACATAAAAATAGAAACTCAATTTTTTATACAGGTGCGCCAGAAAAAATGTTAAAAATTCTATTTATAAAAATTTTGAAGTTATGAGAGTTTGAATTTTGCACTTTGACTCTTTTTATCTCTGTTGGAAAAATAATTTTCCAAGTTTTTTTTGCTACAGGCTATTAGAAAAGGAAACAAGGAAGGTGTGTCCTAAATTATAACTGTTTAATGTTGTTTATGGCTTTGATTGGCAAAATTTTTGTACCTTTACTAAATAATTGTAAAAAAACATATACAAGATCATTAGTATCATTAAATAGAAATAAAAAATGTCAAATGTCAAAAAATAAATGTCAAAATTTTTTGACAGATAGAATTTTTTAAACATTTTTTCCACGTTCCTGGTATCTTATCTTACTTGAAATTTTTCTCTGGGGCGCGAGTTTTGGCGCACCTGTATATTTTGAAATTTAGTGTAAAAGTTCTTTTTTTCCTTCCTAATCGAGTCGGCTGAGAGTAGAGATCCATAGAAATGCTAAATGGTGACAAAAGTTAAAAAAAAATAGTTGTCATAGTAACAACAAATAAAATATTTAGTGCAGTGGCAGGTAATCATTTTTATTAAAAAAACAACTCAAGTTAGCTAAATAATTTTTTTCTGAACCAACTGTAATGTTATACAGTGTCATTATAAATGATTCTAACATCGGGATTCAATGGAAAACAAAGGGAAATTTACCGCCTCTCAATGTATTGAATATTATTGCAATTGAGATATTTAACATTTTTTTATCCCATAAGTAATCTCTGTTATTTTGTTAATTTGAACTCAAAATTCGTAAATAAACGGCTACAAATGTAAAATACTACTTAAATTGACAACTGTCAATATAATATAAAATAATCAAGAGTTTCAAAGGCTAGAATCATTTATATTAACCCTGTATAATAATAGAAAGTGGATGTTTTTGTGCAACTGTCTAATTTCATTAGTGCAATAATATAATTTTTTGCTAGATTAAATTAAACACAAACAAAAATATGTTAAACATTCATTTTTTTATTTGACAAATGCGAAGATGAGTAGAGAAAAAAATGCTATGGTGTGTCCCTTGTTATTATTCATTTCAAAAATAAAAACATATTCAGTCCGTTGCTTTAAAATATGAAAATTTTTAGTTACAATCTGAAATGTGATTAAATAACACGTCGTTGTAGTTTTAATTGGGAGCTGTGGTGTTCAGTTTTCCATCAATAATACTTTTTTGTAAAATGAATCAGCGGCGAGTTTCATTGAATTGTATGGATTTTCATTATTCTCGTTTCATTGTTTTCGTCATTTTGGCCAAATTATTTGACAACTGCAATGTAATTAAATTTGCAAACCAAGATTGAAATAAAACATTTTAGTGCCCCTCTTAGCGTTCAAGTGTAAAACATTAAGTTAAATATTTGCAATAAAATTGTAAAATCTCGCTTGTAACTATGTTATATCGAATAAAAATAGAAATTTAAACTGAGTTTCATTTGACCCCATCCTCAACTGATGACGTTGAACAAGTTGAGTTTTGCTGCAACGTGTTGTGGTTTGTGAATTAAACGTCCATTTTTTTAAAAGAGAACTCAACAAAAAAAACTAATTAAAACCTGTCATAAGGTACGTAAAAAACGTGATTCTTTTTTCCAACCTGAAAAAATCAAGTGTGTTTGGCGTTAAAACCTGTCATCGGCAGGTTTTTGGTTAGGTTGTTAACGTTACGGTTACGTGTACGTAGATGGTGTATTATTGGTTGCATATCTCGCTTGTTCTGTAATGCATTACCGTGGCTTGTAACGCCCTGATTATTTCAAGATGCTGAAACGCTATTAAGACATAAAAAAATAATTAAGTGGCGAAGATGTTGCAGCAAATTATCGCATTTGTTTTGTCCCCCAACGAATAAATTGCAGCTTTTGTCCGTCACAATTTATAAAATAAACGTCTGGGAGTTTCAGTAACAATGTTATAAACTTTTCGGTTCGGTTTCTCCGAAAAAAAACATTTTATCTTGTTACTGAGTTTTCCCTTGAATCTCACAGTATTTTCAGTATTAAGTAAACAAACTTATTCCTGAATTTGGGATTACTCAATGTTGTGTAAATTTTTCAACTTAAGTTGTTATAAGTTTAAATCGATTTAAATTGTGCAACTACTTCAGTAAGAGATTTCGTATGTAATCTCATTACAGAAATAACTTCTAGCATAAAATATCCGCTAGAAAAGAGCAATAGAAACTTTTGCAGCTTCTATATGAGATTTTCATGCCTGTTGAAGAACTATTACTTTCGTTTAAGGGATTTAATGAAAAATTTTAACTCAAGAATTTATTTTAAACACCTCTTTTGTATTTTGAATTAATGAATGAATTGGTGTATTTTGAAATCTGTTTAAAAGCTCTTTTTTCCATCCTAAAACACGAGTAGAGATCTGGATAGTTACTATAGAAATGCACTAGAAAATGTTTGTAACCATGGCAACAAATATAAAAAAAATAGTTGGCATAGTAACAAGAAATAAAAATATTTAGTGCAGTAGTGGGTAAACATTTTTTTCTGGACCAACTGTATAGGTTATACAAGGTCATTATAAATGATCGGAGTACAATGGAATATATTACATTGTGTCTTTTGTACTTTGAAATATAATAATAAAATACTCGTTTATGGCTACAAAACGAAAAAAACAATAGTAAATACCACGATTAATGCATATATTTTCTAAGTACATAACCTGCAGCCTCGAGTATCCCACAACGTTGAATTTATAATAATAAAATCGATACTTAAAAGGAAGTGGGTTAATAAATGATTAAAAGTGTTTCATAATTTCTGTCGCATCCTATCTCCAGTTGAAATGTATTTTCATAATAAAAATAAAATTACAGTTTTGTAGTTTCACGTCTGTACAACTCCTAACATTGCTAGAAAAAATAAAACAGGGAAATAAAACGAACTTTATAGTTTGTGTGTTAAAGTAATAAAATCTTCAAGAGTAAGTAAGTACTCGACTAAAACTTTGACTCGAGTTTCGAGTTTTAATTTTTAATAAAATGACTAATTTGAGATATTAACGAAACTTGTAGAATGTCTGGATTTGGGGACCAACCCGACTATTTCCGCCAGCAGGACGTTTCATACAACTTCGAAATGCCCCCTCAGCAGGACTTCCAGCAGGAATTGTGAGTAATTTTTTTCAGCTTCAGCCCTTTTAGTTGGGAATTAGCACAAGTTATTCAGTTATTGTGTTTTTTGTGTCAGAAGTAGGGTTTTAGTGTGGGCTGAAAGCTGAAATTTCTGACATTTTTCTGATCAAAGGGAATCCGACTAATGAAAGGTCATGTCGAGGAATTTTTCACAAAATAATTATATTATGTTTTATGGCAGTTGAGAATTATCCATCTCCTCTTATATATCACGTTTCGCTTCGACAGTGAAAAGCTATTAATTTCCGTTTCCTTAATCACGACGTAATCAATATCTGTGCTATCTTTGGACCGGTTTTTCTAATCGCAAATTAATTTCTCTCGTTATTTTTATTTACCGGGATTGGAACTTATTCAATTTTGCCTCAACTTCTGACATAAAAAGGAAATTTATCGCACTTTCGCACTTCTAATTGCTTTAATTTAATCACACTACCATACAAACATCGGTTAATACAGGCCCGTAGCAAGTAGGGTTGAGCCCTTTTTTGAATATTCTGAGCCCTACTATAAAACTGTGTCTTTTTTAACAATTTTCTTTAGAAATATTAACGTATAAAATTACAATAAGTAGTGCTCAAATTGATGTCTTTGTTTTGAGTAATTTTTTAAAAAAATCCTTGAATTGGTCGGTTTTATTTACATTTTAACACTATAGTAACATTTATGACGTTCGTTTTCGAGTAATGGCGTCATTTTTATTTTTTTTAATGTCAACCAATATTTTTTATTACTGTTTTAGATAGTACACAACGTTATCTTTCTGGTAAGCAAAAAATAAAGCAAAAAAATGCCAAAAAAAAAATAAAATAAAAAACTTAAAAAAGTTATAGAAAGTTTTATCCAAAGAGCTTTATTGTTGTTGCTTTATTGTTCTTACTTTATTTTATAAGGGGTGATTGTTTTTTTTTTTATTTTTTGTGTTTAGGTTTTATATTAAGTGTTTTCATGCTAATTATTTAAAAAAATATACAAAAAACAATTGCCAGAACAAAAAGATATAGCCTTTTAATTGGCAATATTTTTTATTTATATGCTGTTTATTTTATGGAAATATTAAAAACGTCTTATTGGACCTAATTCGCACCAACTTTCTTAATCCATTTAGGACGCGCAAAAAAATAAACCAAAACTGGATTTAGTTTTTTTATTCATACCTTCCTTATACGTTTTCTTACTTTTTTTCGATCTGGGGTGAAATGTGCCAAAAATGGACATTTTTAGCTACTTTTAAAGATTTCAGGTTTACAACACCTTTTAAACCTATACCAAATGTTAAAATAAAAAAATATAAATTAGTCATTTGATATTATTTTCAAGTACATATACAGGATGATTTAAAAAAAATGTGTATAACATATCTCAAAAACTACAGAAACCATCACCTGTTTATGAGTTATAGTACAAACTTGTGTTTTTTTCAAGGAAGATTTTGTAGAATAAAATAATATTAGATTCCATAAATAAAAACACGTTTTAAAAAAGTACCTAAGCAAAAAGCAAAGCAAAAAAATTCAAAAAAAAGAAAATAAAATTAAAAACTTAGGGAAAGTTTTATCCAAAGAGTTTTATTGTTGTGTCTTTATTGTTCTTACTTCATTTTATAAGGGGTGATTGTTTTTTTTTTTATTTTCTGTGTTTAGGTTTTATATTAAGTTTTTTCATGCTAATTATTTAAAAAAATATACAAAAAACAATTGCCCCTTATGAAATAAGGCAAGAACAAAAATAAAGCCTTTTAAGTGGCAATATTTTTTTATTTTTTTAATCTAATTTTCTTATTACCAGAAAGATAAAGATGGGTGCTATTTAAAACAGTGAACCAAAATGGCAGTTGTTATTAAAAAAAAAATGACGTCACAACTTAAAAACGAATGATGTTATAAATGTCACTATAATGTCAAAATATAGCATTTAAAAAAAGAAAATCTACTTGTTTAAGTCATTAATTTTGTGCGTTACTTTTGGTTCAGCCTGTATTAGCAATTAGCAATTGAATAAAATTTAGTCTAAAAAATAGGTATTTATAATATGAACTTATAGTAAAATCGTTTTCCTACGACCTACTAAAAATTTTATTACTTTTAAGTTAAATGCGGTATTGTTAAGAGTAAACCAGAGGGTAAACAAATCATAAATTAGTGGAACCCATCCGGACCCTGAAACAGGTCAGTTTTTAACAGGGCCGGATTACTTACTTTCTTTCTGTCTAAAATACTTGAAATGTTTTAATAGTTTTCGATGAAGTTGTTGCTAAAGTCAAGTATTTGAAGAAATTTAAAAAAGCAAGGTGGTTATTAACAAGCTATTATTAAATAAAGCTGATTTTTTTTTAATAATAGCTTGGTAAAACTCTACCACGACTTTAGTTTTAAATACGGCCCTGTTTTATTCTAGTGGGTGCAGCAACACTTGCAAAGGAACGTGCCATAGTTTGGTTAATCCCTTATACTCATAATGTGTCATAAAATTTTTAGTAGGTTTTAGGAAAACGATTTTACTATACAGGGTGCGCCATAACTCGCGCCCCAGAGAAAATTTTCAAGTAAGGTAAGATACCAAGAACATGAAAAAAATGTTTAAAAAATTCTATCTGTCAAAAATTTTTGACATTTATTTTTTGACATTTGACATTTTTTTATGTCTACTTAATGATACTGATGATCTTGTATATGTTTTTTTACAATTATTTAGTAAAGGTACAAAAATTTTGCCAATGAAAGCAACAAATAACATTGAAAAGAGTTATAATTTAAGACACAGCTTCCTTGTTTCCTCTTTTAATAGTCTATAGCAAAGAAACTTGTAAAATTATTTTTCCAATAGAAATAAATAGAGTCAAAGTGCAAATTTTAAACCCTCATAACTTTTATAGATAAAATTTTTTTAACATTTTTTCCATATTCCTGGTATCTTACCTTATATGCTATTCTCTGCTGTATTTGCTATATGCTATATTTCTCTGTGGCGCGAGTTCTGGCGCACCCTGTATATCAAATTCACAGGCATATTACTATTATGATTTAAGGATCATATTATTATTTTTTTTCAAAATTTGATTAAATGTGCTTTTTTTATATTGAAATTTGGAACCTTTCAGTAACATTAGTTATAGTAAAAAATAAACATGTACTATACAAAACTGCAGAACTGTTCTAGCCCCACTAAAAATTTTGGGCGCCCCATCTAAAAATTGTTTCTAACTACGGGCCTGGGTTTAAAATTATCGATCGCGATGTGCAACTTTGTGCCAGGGATAAATTTACAATTTTTTATTATTTAACAAAAGCCGAAATTTTAGGGACTATAAACTTGATGAAACTAGTTTATGCGAGAAAAAATATTACAGCGCCATAAAGAGATTCATCACCAACGAAATAGTTTAATTTAAATAAGCCAGCAGCGTGTTATACTAATTTGAAAAATTGATAAGCTGTGAAAATGAAATGATTAACTATTTGGTGCAGTTTTTATGCAGATTTTATGCAAAATTCATCTAAATTTTATAAATATTCATCCGGAAAAAATTCCACTTTGTAGATTTTTGCATCTACAAATTAAAGTTCAATTTTTGTCATTTATGTCGGTTTATTTTCCCCCAGAAATAATTCGCAATTACGTGCAGGTTTTATTTGTAATTCCGAAACAGCTCGTTTTTTGTTTAGTTTCCGCATTAGATCCACCTCTGTTGTTTTAATTCTGAATTGTGTAATTAGTTCCTGACTGAATATTAATTAAAAATCGTTTGTTGCAGAAACTTCCAATCATATGAGGAGAAGCCGAACGTATCAGGGAATATTTACGGGTCGAATCCTTACCTAAACCCGTCTGTTCCTCACTCAGGTGATGTATTTGGGGGCTCTGGCCCAGCAGGAGGGGCTTACGAGGGCGCCGGGGGCGACTTCGAGGATGAACCGCCGTTGCTGGAGGGTTAGTTTCATGAAAACTGAAATAAAAACTGAAAAAATGCTGGTTTCAGAGTTGGGCATCAATCCCGAGTTCATCGTCCAAAAGGTAAGTTGAAGATTTTTAAAATTAATAGCGTTGGAAAATATTGATTGAGGCTTTAATATCGGAAAGTTGCTCCCCTCGGCTATAACCCGCGAAGTTTTTGCGATTCTCGTCGCTTTTTGCCTTTTATTATAACAGTTTATCCGAAATTCGTCACGTTTCTGGCCTTTGTGCCAAGCGATTAATAAAATATGCAAAACAAACAGCGCACTCGAAATCCGATGACGTTTTCAAATTCTCGTGAGGGTAGACGCACTGAAAAATTGAAATTTTTCAGGGGCGAAGAGTTTTTCATACAATTAGCGAATCGCGTGTCTTGTTAAAACACTGACTTGTAGTTTACACCCCACTCTTGGGAAACATTTAAGCTTTTGCTTGCTTTATCAAAGTCTTGAGTCGGTTGGGTTTTCAGCATGGGCGCCGACTTTTATATTTTCTATGGGGGCATAAACAAAAACTTGATAAATTTAAAGCAATACAAATAAAAAAAAAGCTTCTTTTCAGATTTTCTAAACACAACTTACAGGACTTAGAACAAATACTTTATTTTTGCTGAATTTAATGTATTTAATATTTAGAACATTTAATAACAATTTAATTTTTTGTATAGTACAAAAGAAAAAATCAATAAATAACAGTAAATAATACAAAAGTGGTTAATGTATGTATACAATAAAAAGTGTAAAGAAAATAGTACATATGCAAAGTGTTTTAAGTTGTTGAGTTTTGAAAAATAATACCCTATTGTTAAATTTGAAAAAAAAGTGGAAACAATTAAAAAAAATTGTTTTTTTTAAGAATTTAATTTTCAGAGAAACACTCATAAGTGCTTGGAAAATCAATAAAGTAATAGATTTAAAAACAAATTTCTGTTTCAAATTTTTAAAAACATGCGATGATAATCCATTTTTAGATTTAGTTTTGCCATTTTCTACTTTCTTTTAACTAAATCTCAAATAATAACTAAGTTTCTCAGTGAAAAAAATATATCTAAGCGAAAATAATTTTTTTTATTTTTTAGAATCAAGAATACAAAATAAATAACTAACTCATTTAAGATACAATTTCGGAAACTTATACCTTATTTTAACAATTTCTTTTTAATTCATTAAATTTAACTGTGAGAAACGCTCCAAATTTACAAAATAACGCATTTCCAGATCTGTTTTGGAAATTTTCAATCTTTTTTTGGCAAAATCTGTTATATTTTAGTTTCTCGTTAAAAATCACTCCAAAGTTTAGAGAAAATAATTAATTTTTTTATGTAATTTTGCAAAATTTTTATTTTTTTTTTCAGGAAAGTTTTCAAATTCAATACAAAAAGTCCAAAAATAATGCATTTCAGAATTATTTTGTAACCTTCTGCTTAGTTTTGGTATTAGTTTTTGTAAAATCACTTAAATTTTTTAAGGTTTTCGTTGAAAAAAATTCTAAAATTAACCGAAATCTTCAAACGAGGACAAATAATTAAAAATTAAATTTTATTTTGTGGTTGTTTTGCTATCTTAGAGCTTCACACCATTACCATAACCTCTAATTTCAGTGCAAAACGATCTGAATTACTGAACTTTTTGCAATTTTTGGTCTTATTGTGGAACAATATTTCGTATTTTGTAATTTTCTTAGTAAAACTCATAAGATAACTAATTTAAAATAAAATTTACAGATTTTTTTCTGGCGTTACGTCTTAGGATTGCTCAGAAAATATTTTGCCAAAAGATCTCAAGACTAGAAACTTAAACTTCAAATTGGATTTTTTTAAATCTATATACAACAATTTTTATTTGATATACAGTCTTTCAAAAATCACCAAAAAATTTAAGAAATTTTTTTGTTCTTTTAATTGTTCGGAATAGTATAATAAAAAGTTCATATAGAATGTTTTGTCGTTTTGAAGTATTTGAGAAAATAACAATTTTTTTACCAGGAGTTTTTCACTGAAAAACTTAATTAACTTAATTTTGGATTAATTTGAAAAATGGAAAAACATAGATGACAAAACGATGAATTTGATCCATTTTCTTTGGCATCTTTGGCATTAAAAGTGATTTTGAAAAATGCAACGTTACTAAAAAAGATTAGAATAAAGACGAAATTCCAAATATTATTAAGAGTTATTATTATTATTTTTTTACCTCAAGCAAGAGTGCATTAGTCGGCGCCCGTGTTTTGCAGTCTGAATTTTTTGGTGTATTGATTTTAAATAACAATTTCTTTTTGCATTAAAGCTTAATGAAATTCGAAATAACCGTGTGAAATAGTTTGAAAAGACAAATTTTATCGAGAATTGCAATTACCTAGCTTTTAGCACCACATATTTAAAACACATTTAATTAAGCGAGAATTTATGGCTTTTACTTTACGTTTTCTTCATGAGATACATGTTTATACACTTCACGGTAGGAAAATGACAAAATTAAATGTCACAAATGTAAAAAATGGTGTGTTATGACGCTATCCGGGAAGATTTTAAATTAGCAAATGTAATTAATTTTTTATGTGCATGGGTCGCAGGTTCTGGAAAAATTCTAATTGGAATTATTAGTAATTCAGTGCGAATTGAGTATTTTTCGTGTTGGATTAGTTTATGACTGTGTAATTATGGAAACATCTAGTGTTTCATGCAGATGGAGTTCAAGATCTGGAAGTCAATTAGGGGATGTATCTAGTGCGTGAGCTCATCGCAATATGTCACATATTGCATATATTATGAGCCAAACATGTCGGTTTGTAATATCAGCTTATTAAAACACGAATCAGTTTAGTATTTTTTTCAAAAGATATCATTATTTAGTTTGTCGAAAGGTTGGAAGTTGTTTTTCTCTCCTAGTAGTCAATAATCATTTTCATTATAAACCAAGGGCTATAATGTATTAGAAGTGGGTAAATGCCGATATTGGAGGGTATTACATTGATACAAATATTTCTACAATATTATTATTGAAAATTATTACCAACACTAAACTGAGTCATTTAAAATTGTATTCCAACTTAAAAACAACTAAAATAATTATTTAAATTAACAGAGAATTTCTTT